GGCAAGGACGTGCTTGCTGCAGGGTAAATCCTGGCCGTTCGGGCTCCAATTACTCGCTCAACTCCAAGGCCAACGTCTTTTCATCGACGCCTAAGACAATAATAAGATAGCTTACCGCCGATCTTTCAATCGCCAAATAGTATCTCATTCGTGTGAAAACCCCCACTGTTGGACTATCATCGCTCTCAGCGACTGGTTCACCCGTACTGTTGTCTGCAATCACTCCATTTCGCAACCACGATTGAGAAATCAGAGCCATAATGAGGCAGGCGCAAGAAGGGTTCTCAAATTAAGTATGATGAGGCTCGCGCTATGGCATTACGGAGTGACAATACTTATACCGGCATATGGCTAATATGCGCCCTTTCTCTCCTGCCACTTCGGCTGAGGCGCCGCTTCAACCTTTCCAAAGCTTGTGGCACTAACCATGCCCACCTCCCACTTCAGTCCCTCAACCTTGGCGCCGTCCTTCTCATGGGCCCAAAGTGTGACGCCGAGGTGGTTGGATCCCTGATAGTTGAGAATACCTTCGGGAACAGGGAAGCGCTTCTGAGGACCAATATGGTGCACGAACTTGCCAAACTGATATCCATTGACAAACAGCTGAGCGCGGTAGGCGGTGGTAGTTGTGTTAGCAAAGGTCAGGGAGATCGGAATATCGTATCCTGTAGGAAGGTCAAGGTCAAAGGAAGCCGAGTAGTACGCAACGCCAGCCTTGGAAATGCCCTCAGTGGGGCCCTTGCTGTCCTCCCAAGAGCTTGAAGGGGGCTCAGGCCAGTGGTATCCTTGACGCTCAACGAAAAGTCCACCCTCGTTGAGAGGACCACGCTCTCTGTCAGCATAGTCTTCGCCGCCGAGATTGCCGGTGATCTTCCACTTGATGTCAGACTGCTCGTGGCCGGCGAGGTTGTAATTGAGAATTCCGCGGGGGTTCTTCTGTTGCTCCTCATTGATGACCCAGTTGCCGTTCAGACCCATGTGATCAACAACAACGGTGAAGACGTATTCCTTGTCCTTGGTAAGCTTAGGCAACGTGAAGGTGCTGTTGTAGCCACCAGTGACAGCATTGCCGGGCCAGGAGCCGACGAACTCATCGTTCAGCCACACCGAAGCACCATAGGCGTTTCCACCCTGAGTGGTGAGGTTGAAGACATTCTCTTCGCCGTTGGCAGTGAAGTGCCCTCGGTACAGCAACGAACCAGTATGGTACCCGTAGTCGCCACCGTACAGACTGACTGGAGTTTTGAGCGGGTTCGCCGTGTTGTAGGTTTCCTCCAAGTCGGCGTTGGTCCAAAGATCGTCAGAGTAGTCGGACTTGATCTCTGGAAGCGAGTCAATGTACTTCCAACCCAGCTGGCTGATGCAAGGAAGCTTGATCTCGGGGACTTTGAAGTCAACGCTGGCAGTAACGACGCCTCGGTCGTTTTGCTTGAAGTCCAGTGCCTTGCCATTGAAGTTCAAGGTCTTGAGAGAGGACGGGGCGCCGCCAATGACCTCGATCGGGGTCGTGGCGTTGACGTCTCCAAAGACGTTGAGCGTGTCGCCGTCAACTGCAACGGTTCGGACCAGGTATCCAGCCTTGAGAATGACGTCTGAAGTAGCGTAGTTGCCTTCGGTAGGGGGAACCCAGAAGTTGTAGGCCTCGTTGCGGGCTGAAAGTCTGTCAGCAAAGCTTGCTCGGAGTATGGGGCTTGATGAGTCTCACTCAATAGGTATACGTAAAGGTCCCTGTGGACACGGACAACCTTGCGCTCGTCGGAGACGGCCCAACCAAGAACAGTGTAGCCGTCCTTCTGCTCAATGGTCACATCCGAGCCCTCGATCACATCATCGTCGGTAACATCACCCTGGTCACCCTCGACGGCCAGTTCATGGTGCTCATCAGCCCCACCGTAGACAACCAAAACGGTCTTATCCTCGTACTTCTTCCTGAATTGTTGTTAGTCATGTAGTTCATGCTATTCTTTCCAGATATGGAACCTACCAGGTGAAGACCTCGGCGGAGGAGTACACGATATTCTTGTCGCCAACAGGGTAGTCGCTGACATGAATCTTGGAGTCTCTCCTGGTCAGGTAAAGACTGTCGCTGAGCTGGGGAATCTCAAGCTGGCCGTACTTGACAGTGTCGACCTTCAGCTTGTAAGCCACAGTCTCAAGGGTGTCGTATTGAGTGTGTCTGTTTTCCGTCAGTCCAATGTCAATGACATGGAAGTAGATTTTCAGGAAGTACCTAGCAATGTAGAACTTGGTCGTGTTGGTAGTCGCAGGCGTGACTGTAATGGCATCATTGTTCGTGAACTCGAGGGAGGAATTGAAACGGTCGGCCTCAAGATACGCGGGGGAAACGTGGAAGAAGTTAGCTTGAAGTTTCGACTCGCTGTACTTCTCGCGAGTGAGGAGACGCTCCTCTGTGATTTGCGCGCCGTAGTCGTAAGAGGTGTAGCCATCGGAGTGGCCGAGGTTGCCCCAGTTGGTACCGCCCCAGGTCTACAGCCAGTCAGCTCTGCAACTAAGGTGTTGAAGATACTAGAAAATAACGTACCATGTAGATGTTCATGATGGTGACTCCGACAGCATAGTTATTCTTGTAGAGAACTCGTTCGAACTCGTGGTTCAGCAGACCAGCGCATGATTCGAAACCGGCACCGCCCCAGGGCTGGAAACCACCGCCTTGGAACTGCTTACTGTTAGTGCTTGACCTTTGGTCGCAGAGAATAATCATGTCATACTTCGACAATAGTGTAAGGGCTATCAGGAGCAATCTTGTTGTTCGTCGCGAGCCAGTCTGTGGGCAGGCCGTTCTCAGGCCACACAGTCGGGTTCCAGCAGTCGAAGCCAAGGGGGTAGGCATCGTGACCGTAGATATCGACCTTGGCGGGAGTCGAGGTCGTGATAGCACCAAGCTGCCAGGCCTCATTGTTGACGTACGGTACCACAACACCGGCTGTTTTGAACTGGTTCTCAACGTAATTCCAGTAGTCGTAGTCCGGGAAGGGATAGGGCTCAATCGCTGCGTTGTACTCGTTCTCCATCTGGAATAGGCTGACTGGGCCTCCGTTCGTGATCTGAGCACCGGCAATGATCTTGCCAATCGCGGCGGTGTAGCTGATATCGTCAGCTATCTATGTCGACTCCTCTTTGCTAGTAGACTTACTTGTCGGTAGCCTTAAGGTAGGCCTCGTCGGCTGATCGAAGGACTCCTTGGACTCTTTGCAGCCATCCTGGAAAGCCTCCTCCGGACACCTCGGCATTGATGTATGGTCCCGGTCGCTATTCTGGTCTTAGGAGAATACTTTTGAAGAGAGAGAAAAGAGAGAGAAGACCAGCTTACGGCAAACAGATACAGACCAGCCTTTTGAGCGGCCTCGAAGAGAGGCTCCAAGGCGAAGATACCCTCAGCACGGACTTCACCTGGCCTTGCTTCCAGCAGTCCCCAGTTGACGTAGAACGAGATGGAGTTGTATCCGGCCGCTTTGATCTTCTGGAGGATGTCGAACCAAAGGTGTGGAACTGGCATTCTACATAAGGAATTAGAAACCGAGCTGGAACTCAATTGAAAAAGGAACTGTACCTAAAGGCATGGAACTCGGCGCTGAAGATCATCAGTCTCTCACCATTGATGAAAAGGCTCTTGTCGTCCCATGTCACCTACATCCGAAAGTCAGCCCCATTTTGCCAATTGAGTGATTTGAGGCTTCGGCAAGTGCCAACCGCACCAGTTAGCCGTGGCTTGACTCACAACATCTTGCTGCCTCCCATTGAGGAGGTGCATGTCTCGCGCCACAGCCCTACCACTGACTCCATTGAGCCAGCCCAGGGCCAAAAGCGAAAGGATCTTGACGCGTGAGAGCAACATTGTCAATCAATGCAGCAGTCTCTACACTGATCGCAGCTGGACACTGACGAGTGGGTGAAGGAGATACTGCATTTTTCATAAAGGAGCAGATTTGTTTATTATTACACGGAAATGCGCACATCCGCCTTCTCCACGCGAAGATCGGAATGTCACCATCCCCAACCTTATCCCGATGTAGCGGCGGAGGCGGCGGAATTGGAAGCTCATCAGTGGCCGGCAGATGTCAGGGACAGCCCTTTTCTCACTCACAACCAGTCGACTGAGCTGGTGCAGACGCAGCTGTTCGCCCACTTCCCCTCTTTTACTCCAACTCTGCAAGTCCAAAGTCCGCAGAGGGCGACGAGCATGACATGGCGTGCATGTCGTACATCATGAATCCATGGAGGACGGGAGCCGGGCTGGCACTACGAACCAAGCAAGAAACAAACACATTCGGTATGCCCCGGAGCTTTCACCGCATCCCCCAACCACAACCCCTGTCTTCCCCCGCTCGTTGCCCCGCGTTTGTCGGTTAGCCATTGCTTGGAGGGTGTTCGTCCCTCGTCTTTCAAGGCGGTTTTTACGCGATTGAGGCAAGGTGCTCCCTGCGGGCAGTCGCGCCACCTACAACGGCCCGCATGCCCGGGGCGTTCAGGAACACGTTGGAACTTCCGTCCATACAGAGCCCTGGAAGCAACTTAAGCAGAATAATCAAGACGGAAAAATTCCAGAGCTTCCAGACCTGGTGGTTTCACTGATTCACAGGGGCGGATCTGTTTAAAAACGCTCTATTCGCGTATGTGGAATTTCCCCTCTGCTCGGGGAAGTTGCCAAGCATGGCCAACCGAAGGGCGGCTGGTCACATGCAGGTTGGATTCGGGCACGCATTGAAAGACCCCGAGCATGATGCCCCAGTGACATTGCGTCAGGGACTCCTACACGCGCTCTTCCTTGGCGAGACAGTGGGCAAATCAGCGGACTCAATTGAGTGCCGGCCTTAAGAAGCACACGCATTGCATTTTGGGTGCATTTGTTACTTACATTTCATTACGGCGTAGTCTGTGTGCGTGTATGTCCCGCAATCGCGCGAGAAGATTTCTCTGGGTGCGAAATTCTGGCGTTCAAAGACATCAAACATTATATACATGAATCTTTCTGCAATCATTTATGCCTGCTTGAGTCCTAACAACTCAGTCAACTTCAACATGCTAACGGTGACCTTGTTCGTCGTGCTGGGAGGCAGAACACCAGCACCCATAATGAGCAGATAGTCGGGGTCCTCCTCCATGATGCGTAGATTGCGGGTGTAGGCACCGGCTTCCGGAGAGTCGTACGCAACCCAGGCGTTCGGGTCACCACCGCGACGGTTGATGAAGAGAGGCGCGCTGTTGCTGCTAACGACGATGGTGCCGTTGCAACCACCGACGGGGGACCAGACAACGTTGGGGCTGTTGATGGGGAAGACGCCGCCGTTGGTGCTGATGATGTAGTAGTCGGGCGCGTCGGCGAACTTGCGAGGGTCCTTTGCGATGCGGTAGTAGATGGGGAACGAGTAGGGTTCGATGATGGGCGCGCCACCCCATTCGAACGTGTACATGTAGTCGCCGTTGCCGAGCTGGGTGACGAAGGGCATGCCGGGGCGGTCGGTGTAGGTCGGGTAAGAGACGTCCTTGACGACCTCGGACCAGTTCTTGAGGTCCTTGGTGGTCTGGTGGGAGATCTCCTGGCCGTGCTCGGCGGAGCGCTGATCGGCGTAGTAGAGAATCAGGTCATCCTCGAAGATGCTGCGACAGATATTAGTTATTGCGACAATATGGATGCATCGTTGCCGTAGACTTACAGAATAAAGGGCTCCCAGACGGGGGTCTCCTCGTTGTTGGGGATGGCCCGGCCGCCAGCAGCGACGTGGGACAAGAACTCCCAGGTGCGGCCCTTGTCCGTAGACGCGTAGAGGTCGATTTGCGTCTGGCTGAGATCCGTGGGAATACTGTTGCCAGCCAGGAGAACAGTTCCGACGGGGTACCCGCCGAACTCCTCGCGGAGCTCATACAGGAAGGGTTGGTAGCGCAGACCCCAGTTGTTGACCTCATCGTGAACTTGGCCAACCTCTTCCCATGTGACGCCACCATCGAGAGACTCGTAGATGGGGAACCGAACCAGAGGAGGCTCGGGGGAGTAGTTCTCCCAAGTGCCCAGCAGGCGACCGTCCAACAGTTGGACGGTGCGGGGATACAGGACCCGAGGGTCCGTGTAGTTCTCGGGCGGCTGGAAGATAAGATTCCGCTCAAAGGTCTCGAGGGCAGAAGCGATGCCGCAGGTGAGAGCGCCGACAGCGGCGAAGAGGGCGGACCGGAGCATCATGGCTGCGATTCGACGATCTCTGCGGGAGGCGATCGACTGAAGGACGAGATGCGGAGGGAGAGCAGATCGTTCCCCAGACCGATGCAATGGGGCCTTTTATATGGGTGTCATCGAGAGCATCATATCCAGTGCTGGGCCCATGGCAACGGTACCAGAGACGCAGTCGCACCGGGGATCGTGACCGCAGACGAACACACGATGCGACATGGCCCGAGCTGTAAGCTGCCTCTCGGTAACCTCGGCCATGTGGCGAGAGCCATAATCTTGTTGCTCCCCAGTCTGGAGTGGCCTGAATAGACTCAATGATTGCTGCAAGGACTGGACAGCTTGAGTGAGGAGAAATTCTGGGGACGCCAACGTGAATTCACGTTGGCGTTGCTAACAAGCGCGAGTGACTGGGGTGACCACTGCGAAGACAAGTTGTATGCGCTCCAAACAAATAGCTACCGGCCCAGGAAAATATCAGAAAACGCGGCAAAACATGCAAGTTTATGCCGAGCCTGCAGGAAACAAATTGGAGATGAGATGCGAGAACCGGGCCAATGTTCTCTCGAGCTATGCCACGATTAGCTGCTCATTTGGTGTACCCCAAGAGTTGAATGTGGGGATCGTGCGGGGGAATGGGTCAAGTACCGAAGAGCGGTGGCTGGCAGACCGAGATGCGCACCAATCAAATTTGGAAATGGTGAAAGTGGTGTGAGCCTGGCATCCCTGTCCCGGCGCAGCTGTGTGGAAGGATGTCGGTGATGTCGCGTTCGATGTAGGGCAAGGTAGCTGATGACGTTCGTCTCTATTATCAATGAGGTCCATTGCTTTCTCACTCGAATAGAGCTTGCCGAGATTGATATGATTGCAATCAACTTACTAGCTGGAGTCTTGAAAAGAGAATGGCTCTCTGCTGGGGTCTTCAGTTATCATGTGGGATACAGATGAACTGAAAGCATGGGCGGAAAAACAGAAGGCACATATATGGATAAATGGCGGGCCTGGAACATAGGACAGCCAAGCTTGGTAGACATGGAGCGGATGGTGTATTGAAGATGTTGCATCCTTTTGAAATGGTGCCAAAAAGAAATAATGTCAAGTATGCACTCTAAAGAGGTAGTGTGTCGAGGTGAATGTTTCCTCCAGACCGTCCCATCCAAAGGAGCTGGAGAATTGCGGGTGCAAGGCAAATCTGAAGACACTGCAAACCGACTCGACTGTTGGGTTGTGAGTTCTCAGTTGTTGCGAAACAAATCTTCAGCAGCATCGTCGAGCAAGGCAACTATTGAAAGTCATCAAAGCTGTGGGATTCGCCAAGTTCATGTCAAGCGACGGTATATATGTTGATTGACGTGTCTGACAGTTCAGCGTGCTTTTCACAGCGTAGCGAGGAATTGAACTCTCATGGAGTTGTTTTTCTTAAAAGTAAATCAACAGGTAGAGTTGATGCACGCTCCCTGCGTCGCTCAGAGAGAGGCGATGTACTGGGTGTCATGAGCAAGTAGAACTGCAAAAGTTGATTCACCTTGAAATGTATGTAATGAGAAGATGTATGCAGTGGTCTCGACCTATGACTGCAGTTGTAATTCACTAGGTACAGTCTGCTGCCGTGCAGCAGTAGTTTGAAACGATCAAGACGCAATCGGATGGGCTTGCAAGATGCTGAATGCGCTTGAATTACTGGCAGCATTGTCGCTTTGTCTTCGTCGCCTTTCTATCCACATCAGACTCTGACACACTAGGCTTGCATGGAGCAAGGAGAGTGGTGCATTGGGCATTAAAAGACTCCTGAAACCCATCGAATTCGGCATAAGAGCTGCGGCTTGGGACCGTTGCGTCTTTTTTGCGAAGTAGTGGTCGTCGAAGGTCACAATGAGAACCATTTGAACTTAGAGGATGTGAGTTGACTGATCTATGAGTGGAATAGGAGGGTCTTATCGACAACATACCTTGTTGTGAGATTGCTAAGTACCTTACGTGTTGATGCTATTGGCAACGGGTCGCTGAACCAACCCGTGACGCCGGGCGGACGACAAAAGGTCCGATCAACGAGCCCCATTTGGGCTATGTCTTGGATAGCTCACGAATGGGCCTATTCAAGATCCATGTAGGCAGTGTTGATGTCAGGATGTCCAATCGGAAGTAGTGGGGCAAAACACCGCCCCCTAGGAAACCCGAGAAATCTCGGATGCTCAGGACCAATTGCCAAGCTCCGATTCAGGGGATTGACATTACGATTGGGATGGTGAGATTCTATGATCAGAGCTAGGCAGATTGAAACGCGATCCTCTTTTCGAGTTATTTGCAACCCAGGTGGTCTGTGGTGATGCTTCCTAATGACAAAGGGGATACTCGTATGTGACCCGCAGCGTCGATCTTCTCGTTCCATGGAGCAGTGCCTGAATCCGAGGATAGACTATCCAAGATGAAGTCAGCCTCAAGTATCACAGCGTTTGCAAAAAGTTCAAAAGCCGAATGTTGTCCTCTGCCTCAAAGCAGTCATGAAACAACACTTTCATTCACTCAAATCGGTTTCATTCAGTCACTCACTTTATCTCCAATCCTTCCTTATCAAAATGCGCCTCAAAAGTCTTGGGCTCTTGCTGTTCCACAGCGTCTTGGCCATAGCAGTAAGTCTCTATGTTTGCACTAATGCATCATGGCTCTCTTTATAACCTGTTATGACAGCTAATCTGTGTTGTTCCTCCAGCAGGGCACCATCCCCAACACCCAGCCCATTAATGAATCAACCGCCTTCATAGGTCAACCAGCTACGCCGAATACCCTTACTGTGAAGATACCCTTCTTTCCATCTGCATCTCTCATGCACGAAGACAGCGGCAACACCGGGTCGACCGACTACCCAGGACCCTTGGGAGGCAGCAACATGAGTCTGTTCAGCCAGCAGATCGTTACTGGTGTCATGACCTGGGGCACGAACAATACCATGACGATTGGTTATGCCAATTCAACAACGCTCGCCCGTGGAATCGCAGCCATTGACCCACAGACAATGGAGATCTTGGCTACTTGGACCCCTCCAGACTCCAACCAGACCCTCAGCCTGGGATACCTCGAGTATCTGCTCGAGAGCGACGAAATACTCTTCACCAGCCAGGAAGGCCATGTATACCTGATTCGTCGTGATGACGACGCCGAAAAGGGAACCGCATTCACGACCGTTCGCAACATTGACTTGACCACAATTCCGGCGGCAATTGCTGATGGCGAGTCCTTGCTGAACGCGATGATGGATACGGCTGGGAATATTTGGTATACTACCGGTGGCATCCCGGGAATCGGTTCGCTGTATGCTGCGCAGACTTTTCTCACGCTCGGCTACATCACACCCGATAATCAGGTACATTCGATTCAGATGGATGGCCAGACTATCGAGAACGGCATTGCTGTCAGCAACACCACAGCCTATGTCGTCACAGGTCCCACGACCATTGGCACAGAAGGGGTGCCTCAAGTCGGATACATGCTCGCCTTGACGTCGCTTCCATCCTCTGGAGATGCTGGCTCTAATGGTGGAGTGCGAACTCTCTGGAATGCCACGTACGATGCTGGCAGTACTACAAAGCTGGGCGCCATCACTCGCGGTTCGGGGTCTACGCCGGCGCTTCTTGGAGACGATTATGTGGTTATTACAGACAACGCCGACGGCCGAATCAACCTCGCAGTCTACTATCAAGGGGCCATAGAGAAAGATCAGTTGCTTTGCACCGTCCCCCTCTTCGGAGAGAACGCAAGTGCCAACGATCTAGCGGCGACAACACACTACGATGTCACAACCGGATTTTACACAGTCGTGGTGGAAAACACATTCAACGGCACCACGGTGTTCTGGCCGAATGCCTCCTCGACTATGGACGATATCAACGGTGGGTGGAACAACATGGCTGGCATGCCAGGTGGCACATTTGCGGTTCAAGTCTCGGCCGATGCTTCCGGTAATTCCACAGCAGCCCCGTGCTCTGTTCGCTGGACGTCTCCTATGACGGTTAAAGCCAACCCAGTGCTGAGCACGAAGACGGGATTATTGTACTTTTACACCCAGGACGAAAAGCTTGCTGACGAGGGTATGTATGTGTGGTATGTCGTAGCTTTGGACTGGCGATCTGGTGCGGAAGTCTGGAGAGCACGCATGGGCTCCGGTGGAGCGTACAATGATAACTGGCTTCTAGGTGGCTTGGGGCCCGACGGCACTTATTATCAGGCGATGCTTGGTGGGCTCGCCGCGATGAAAGATGGCTCCAACTGATACACCCTCCCACGGTCCCGGGTTGTTAGAGGACCGCGCCGTAGTCAAGGTTTGTGGCACTGGTATTGGCTTCCCAGATACTCGGATGGTACTATCACTTGTCCTATAATTCAAAACTTCTTCCGCCCGGCCGTCATGGTGATGCCAAGCTCCATGTCTGCAGCATATACTGTGTATTAATGAATGGTATTATATACTGCGCATGATAGAAGGATCTCCTATCAACCAAACTTTCTTTTCCAATAGCAATTGACGTCGCTTCACAATCTCTCCGATGGACATAGGAGTTGTCATTGAGTCGAGGCTCTTAATCGCAGTCGTCGCACAGCGCCAGGCACTGCGCCATGCAACCAGCACGCTGCAAGTTGGTCTGGCGGTCAGGCGCGTTGTAAGCTGTAGGACATGGTGTTAGAATGGTCTCATTGATCGCTCAAACTCAGGGATTTGTGTTCAACTCACTGTCCCAGCACTCAGAGGTGCACGACAAGCAAGACCCTTGGAAGGGAGCTCCGGGGCTGCATGCGGCCATGACTGAAGGCATCACAGCCGCAGCAATGACGATGAAGGCCTTGGAGAACTGCATTATGGCGGTAGAAAAGTTGATGTGCTGGTTGATACAAATTTGCAAAGCGTCGAGTTGAGAGTAGATTGGTTGATGCGAGTGAAAAACAATGTGAGAGTGAAGCTGATGAGGATAAAGTTCAAGATGGTAGGAAGAAATCGTCTCGTATATATACACATTCCTCAAAATCAGTTTTCATGATGCTTCTGCTTGAGCGGCCGATGCCTGCTTGTCGGGCGGCCGATGCCTGCTATGGCTTTGTTCTTGGCGTGTGGTCTAACATCGTGTAGCCTTACTGGCAGGATCACGAAAGTCCCAAAGGATGTCAAATGATAGCTCAAGTTCCCAGACAGTGGATATCGTGAAGGATTAGGTCGTCCTGTTTCGTTAGCGATCCGCTGTCTAGCTCTATTGGGGTCTTGGCAAAGTCTGAGGACTGATCATCAACCAAGATAAGATGTTACGCGGTTGAGCTGAGACTCGTTCCGGATATCGGCGGATAGGAGGGACTGCTCTCAGCGGGCTTGAATGCGAATGCACGAATGAGAACCAAAGTTCATTTCAGCCGTCTAAACTGAGAGAGCATTTCGCTTGATATTTTAGCTCCATGCCGATCTTCTGTGCCTCGCCAGGCAGCCAAATGATCCACAGTCCCCGATGTAGGCGACGGACGGTTCACCGGGCCATCCCGCAGGATGCAGGCTCCATGTAGCCTTAAATGTGGCTGTGATGATCCTTTGAGGCAATCATCTTATCAGATCGAATGTCTTCAGCTGATCAGCCTGTCGTATGCAGCCATTTGTAAGACTCAACCATGATCACCGCTCTCACTAGCGTGGCTAGGCAACCGGCAGCAGCGAGATGACGTGGAGGAAGAGGCTGAGCGAGTGCAATGTGTAGACTGCAGCTGCGGTCGGGTTGAGCTATCCCTTCGTACATAGACATACATCTAGGAGTACGCTTATAAACTGTATGCGACATAGACAATTATTGTAAAGACCAAATGATCATGCGTTCCGTTTTCTTCAACTCATAAGCCGCTGATACCAAGTGCGTCGCATGATAGAGCTACTTGACACACCTAAAATAGTGAGATAGTGCGAGAGCGCAGTGGCACCACGTGGGGTGATCTACCGACGAGCAAGGAAATTTCCTATTCGGAGAACATTGTCAAAATTGTCAAATGTTATCAACCGATGGTTAACCCAAAAATAAATGCCCAATGCGTAGCGTGTTAACGCATAGGCTGAAACGTCTGGACCATGCGAAGAAGTAGTATAAAATATTAAGTTGGCAGAAGGCCGGCCTGGATGACCAACGCGATCGGCCAAACTGAATTTTTGCCGATGCTACGTTCAAGGCCACCTTCATGATTCGACGTCCCATTCTCTTGGCCTTGTGACCTGCGTTCCTCCACAACAAGCGTTTCAATATTGCTAACATAGGGGAATATTAAGATTACGTGCTAGACGTATGTACAGTATGGAAATATGTACAGAGAAATAGGGCTGACCCGAATTACCACCACCAGCCTTGCTTCTTCTTGACCCATCCGTGAACGACAGATGCAATGTCGAGGTTGTTCATCTCAAGGTGACCAAAGTGGCCGTTGCCCTTGATACCAATGTCACCCAACTTGATCCACTCGGGGTTCCCTCCGACTTGCTTCAGATAGTCGATGATACAGTGATCGTAGGTGATGTGCACACTGGCCTCTCCCGTCAATGCCACATAAGGCACGCTGGAAATCTTGGGAAGCTGGCGCGCCGGTTCCTTCTGGCGGTAGCAGTTGCGAAGCGCCAACGTCTCATTACCCACAGACTCGATCTCATCTGCGAGCTCGGCCGAGTCCGCAACGGCGGGCTCGTAATCGACTTGAGTGTTGGTGAGACCCCACGGATTGGCAGAGCGGCCTCCAAGCCCATAGCCGTAGGCCCAGAAGGGAATTGTCGATGGCTCGAGGTTGATGCTGCCGGCGAGATATTGAGGGCAGTCATTGGAGATTACGAGAGCAAGCTTGGAACCCAGGGAATGTGACACCAGGTACGACTTGACGCCGATGAGAGATAGCAACTCGCAGCCAGCGGTGCGGATGGCCAGCTCCTGAGAAACATAACTACTTGTGTATGGGATGAAGCTTTGCTGGAACTGGTCGAAAGTAGGGTCGCCCCTCAAGCCGGTGCCAGGCCACTGTGTATGCAGTTGGGATTGAGGATAGGTGTTGTATTCCTTGACACCTGTGAAACCCATCTCGACGTACTCCACCGACATGCCCACATTCATTGTGAAGTTCGCCGGGTTGTTGGCGGTGGACCGTCCGATGCTGTTCGCATCGATCAGATAAATCTGATATCCCTTCTGCAGGAAGTAAGTCGCCCACCCCGGGCGGTTGTCAGGGGTGTTGAGCCATGTGGTGGCGGAGATGCCACCGCCGTGAAGGAAGACAAGAGGGGTCGACCGAACTTTAATAATGGGCGTAAGCTTCTCGACATAGATCTGGCCTATGACGATGAAAAGGTTAGAAAAACGTGGATGGAGCTTCCTATCCCAAAGGCTGCGTTCTCCTACCAATTGTGATGTTGCCTGTCGGGTCCGGTGCGCTTTGGCCTCCCACGTAGAAGAACTCTCGATGATGCAGACTTTCCTGAGGGCTGCACTTTGAGCTGACAGCGTTCACGCCGGTGCAGTCGGCACCTGCAGCGGCGCCAGCGGCAGCCAATGCGACCGCGGAGAGTGCCGAAAGTCGGACCATGGCTCCTGATTGTTGTGGGCGAGCGTCGAGTTTGAAGAAGAGTTGACACGCGCCAAAGGGGGCCAGAAGTCGCACTAAGAGCGCGCACAGAATGAGGCGCGCGGAGACACGACCGGCGGCAAACACATCAGCAGGTTTTTCCCCCTCTTTCTTTTCTTCATGTTTCTGGGGCTCTTACGAACGAGAACGACTGTTAATATACGCTAATCGCTGGGACTTGTTCGTTTCTGTGTTGGTCCGAATCGAGGCAGACCGATCCCCCCAAATTGCGGTCCCCAGGCCAAGAACCTCGTGCAGGGCAATTTCGGGGAACGAGACGGCACCGGGGGAACGCCGGTCGGAGGTGTTACCCAACCGAACATCGCCAAGAGCAAAAACCCTGCCTGCCGTCCTCGCAAGGCGGAGTGACAAGCCGGGAAGAACCAAGAGAACCTCTTTTCAAAGTTCCCCAGTGCATGCTGGGTCTTGTCCGATCTTTGACGCCATCACACTGTTATTGGCTGTGCCTCCCACTTGCAGAGGCGAGGGGCCGAGGCCTGCGGTTCTCTGCGATGTTTGCGAGCGCCGACTGGCATTCATGACTCGCCATCGACTCATTCTCACCACACCTGCCCGCACCAGAGCCAACCTTGTCCTTGTAGCTTAATCTGCACGGCATGGCAGCTGAATGGTTATCGCGGGCTTTTCCAAGAATGCCCAAACATCGGCTCTTCCCCCATGCTGATCCCGCAGTTGCGAAATTCTTGTCGATACGACCCTCCCACGATCCCGGGACCTCGCACCCGGTAAGCGATGCTGAAGATCAAAGAAGGCCGGGTTTCCCACGATGTGAAACCATGCTAGCCCGCGCGTCTGGCCTTGATACACTGAAAATAGTTTGGAGTGGTTCAGCCCATCTCGAAAGAAAGCTGCATAAAGCGGACCAGCCGCCCGCTCCCGTCGCGGGTCTCCTCTTTGCATGTTGAGCTCGGTTAGTTGGACGACTTGTTTCTCGCCATGTCGAACAGCAGCACGGCCTCCGCGAAGATCGGGAAGCCGCCCAACAACACCCGGGATTACAATGTCATTAGGGGGATCTACCGGCAATATGGAGTCACGACGCTCGACCCTGCTCTGGGTTACATCTTCGCCGCCCAGGAGCCAGCGAACGCCGTTCACGAATCGAAACAGGGCGCCATCATTGCCGGCATGGTGATAGTGATGCTTGCTATAGTGGTACCGACGACTGGAAGGTTGATTGTGAAATGGAGAGGAACGCAGACGAAGTTTGGATGGGATGACTGGGTGATTGTTGCAGCTTCGGTAAGTTGAAATTCTTTCAACTGTGGCTCGAGTGTATGATGAGGAGGGACCAATACTGATGAGCTGCCAGATACTCGCATTAGTCTACCCGATTCTTCAAATTCTCGTTGTCGTCGATGCTGGCGGCGGCCTTCACACCTGGGAGAACACCTACGACGACTACCAATTTTATTCATACTACCTCACCATCTGCAAGATCATCTACTATCCGACGGTCGGCATTATCAAAATCTCGATCACGCTCTTCATCCGCCGACTCGTCGACACAGCTTTCAAGACCTGGAGGATCCTAGCGGACATCTTCCTCGGCACTTTGGTGGCATTTGTCATCGCCTCCATATTCTGGAACATTTTCCTCTGCAACCCTCCTCGAGCTGTGTGGGACAGAGAGTATGCAGGATCTCTCGCAACAGCAGCTACTTGTGGGGACCAGTTCCTGGCAGCCAAAGTTCTCAGCATTATTCACGTGGTGCAGAGTGTGCTTCTTCTTGCCACGCCAATTATTATTCTGTGGCGTGTCCGCATTGATACGGGCAAGAAGGTCAGGCTCTTCATCATTTGGGCGGCGGGTGGCCTCACTGTTGCTGGAGGCCTGCTCCAGCAGACACAGCCCTTCACATCCACCGACATCTTCTGGGACTATACCATTATCCTTCGATGGACCGTGCTTGATATTTCAATGGGCATTGTCACGGCGTCATTGCCGGTATTGGACGCTGCGATCATGGGATCATGGCATGCAGCCAAGTCCACGCTTGGTCTTTCCAACGCAGATAGGCAGGGCACCAGCAAGAACACCACAAATCCGGAGCATACGAATCATTCCAGACGGAAGACGTATGCCAGTTCATCTGAGAACATTATTGGAAAGGAGGACGGGGTCGAGCTGGGCGTAGTTCAGCACAACAGACCCGACGAGCCCAGGGAAAGCTCGGATGCAGATACTACAGCCCCCGGCAGAAAGCACGGGGTGAACAACATGGTATGATGAGATGACGATAATTGTAACGTATTAGCGTAATAAATAAAGCATGACGCAGTAGATATTCTGCCATCAACACTCAAAATCTCAAAACTCTGCTCCCTCAGTTCACGGCGTGTGGCATTACTTGGTCACAGTGGCACAAATTAAGCGCCATTCAGTGGAGTGTTGACGATCTTTTGGCAAGTCTACCCCTTCGTGATGGTCAACAAGGACACCACGTTGGCCCGAGGGCTGACGACCGAGTTCTCGGAATATCCCTGTTATCCGAGCAGATTGACGATCCCCGCGTCCGTGCATTGTCTGTCTGAAGCCCGTGATGTGGGTGCCTGTCCCACCGGATGGCACTCTGTTGACCCATATCCAATTTGGGGTCCTGACTCAAGTCATAGCTTTCGACGGCAAAGAAAGAACTGCCGGCCGGTAAAACATCGCTTGCTCGCCTTGTTTGCCGTGGAGATAAGGGGGTTTCCAGATATTGAAAGGGTAATCGGCAACCCGATGAAAAATTCATCAGTATTAAAGGGTTCATGCTCGTTGGCGGAACAGCCGTCATGGGCTGGGATCATCCCGATACAAAGGCTAAGAATACTGCTCTGTAGTTGCTTAGATAACCTCTCGGATTCCGTAGCTCTCCACTCATGACGGCGCAGGAAACATCACAGTCGGTTCGCTATCGGCTTTCCGCTGTAGTGAGTTGTTGATGGCTGTTCTACGTCGCTGAGGTAATCATTATGAAATGGGCCTCAGAGTGTAGGTAGACTTCGGCCCCATGTATGCGACAAATTCTTAACAACGATGGAGGTTTTGGGTCTGGTTTGACCGTAGCATCGGCATTTGTAGCTGTGATACCCACCTTATTTAGTCGACCACTAAGCTTATTCACTCCAGCATTTTCCTGAACTGAATTTCAGGTCGCACACCGATGAAGTATGACTTTGCGAGATTAGAGTCACACGATGGGAAGTCTTTGGGGCTAATGAGTTTGTGCCTCTCGAAGCAGGACTACTGGCAAAGCAACGAACATAGCTGGACAAATTCTCGCATACTAGTCAATCACATTCGATCGCAAACCCAAAAGCCCCTCGACCATAGATTCAACTCATGTCAAGTAAGCCCGCCGAAAGGTGGTGTGAAATAATCAATAGATTGTTGCTGATGGTGGTCAGATGGGCACTGGGGTTACAACTCCCAAATAGTTCAAAGCCCACGCGCCGCCACAGCAACTAAGTGTGTCACTCAAATCATCGGTTGCTCCTGCCCTACTATCCAACCTTTCTGCGCCAGGCGGTAGAACCGATGTCATTGGACTTATGATCAAGTTTTGGCTGATGGTCAATTTGATCGGTGACGTCAATGCATCCTTTACTACGAATGAGTATGGCCTGCTGAGATGTTCCCGGTGTAAGTCTTCTTCAGCTCAGCCATGTCCTCCCTTCACACTCAATTCGTTACCCATCATCCCAAGACAACATTGAGATTATTGCCGCCGAGAGCCGACTAAAGCTCGATGATCAGTCAAACTGACATCATTCCATCACTCCAGTGCGCACGAGGTTCTCCTACGGCCGATGGCAAGCGTCGACCGAAGCTTCGATTCAGGAACCCTCATCGCACGCCAAGGGCGCCTAAAATGCTCATGGGTCTTAGAAGCCTCGTTGGGGAAGCGAGTAAAGTGCAATGGTGCGCGATTTACCAGAAATGCAAATGTCTGACATGTCGTAATGTTAACTTGTCATCGCCCCCAAAGTAAGACAGCCTGGAAGGGTTCCTGTCTGCAGCTCTTGCAGGCAGAGTCGACAGCTGGGAAACCAGAAGAGGAATTTGGCCACCTTCCTATTCTAGACACCTATTCTAGACAGTGTTGTCTGACCATCACGTACTTGGCAATCCTTCTGCGGCATGGAATGCGGGACCAACCGTTGCGAACTGTCCACCAAAGGGAGAAGGAAAACGCATACCGGAAAAGCGGCGTGCGTTCGTCGACTTTCTTGGGCCTTTCAGGTTTAACGATGCAACGATCCGATCCATTCGGCTCCGGCACATTGCGGGCTGGACCGCCGGAAAATATCCCATTGGGGCTGGGAAGCCTTGGCCTCTGCCTGATCACACTTTGCAGGGGCAATCTCCATGGTCAACTCAGCTCTTCAATTGGCTGTCTCGCACTTCCGCCCTGATGTGTGTGATGACGACGCAAGGGAGGCTCTGTGCCTCCTCGAGTGACGCCATCACGAGAAAGTCTGGATTCTATAGTATCAATGATCAGTAGGCCCGATCAAGGTCCTACCATCCAGAAGGAGGCAACCCTCGTCCTTCCACACCTGATGTGACTTGGCGAAGGATGCTCATCGTGGCATGGCCATCGGCCTTTCCGCAATCCTTCAGGTCTAGGCTAGGGACTTGATGGCAACTATAAGTAGTTGGACTTCTCTACTCACGAACATAACTGAATATCTTAGCTCGGCATCAAAGCTCAGGCATTACAGACAAGCTCATCATCCTTTCGACCGTCCGCATCATGCGATTTTCTACCATTGCAACTATTTCTTTCGCCGTAGGGCAGGCCTACGCTCTGGTCAGGTCCCCGACCCCGACTGTCAGCGGCTCATCATATGTCGTTGACGGGCAGTACACGTTTGCCAACAGAGCCGTCTTCAACTTTGCGACCGGAACTAGTCTTCCGAGTGGGCTGTACAGAAGCACGTACTCTGTTGGGACACACACTTACGAAGCTGCCAATGCCGTCGTATCTGGTGGTTATCTTAACTTGATAGTTCCTGGTGGCCAAACTGCCCAGCCTTACAAATGTGGCGAGGTCGTCACTACTGTTGCGAACATCAAGTACGCTTCTGTTCGAACCGTCGCCATTTTCAGTGAACCTGCTGGTGTTTGCAATGGTAAAAACATCTCAGCTATTATTTCAACTCAAATTGTCTGAACCCATCAACTGATAACGACTTAGGCATCTTCTACTACAAGAATGACACTCAGGAGACCGATATTGAATGGCTTTCGGATCCCAACTCGCTAAGCAACCAAGGCACCCGGAAGCTCTGGTTCACCAACCAGGATGCAGACCAAAACGGCGTCAAGACCTACAACGCAGTCACTCCACCCTCGGATGCTACAAGCGCCGAGCACGAGTACCGTCTTGATTGGACCCCGGGCCTGGTTCGATGGTTTGTAGATGGTGTGCAAATCTGGAACACCACTAGTGATGTGCCCAACTCTGCTGCCCCGTGGGTGTTTAACAACTGGGCCAACGGAGACCCTGGCTGGAGTGTTGGCCCCCCCAAACAGACTGCAAACTTCCGCATTAAGGACGTCTATATGTACTACAACACCTGTTCCGGAAGCAACTGCTGAGTTTCAGTCGGGAGATAGTAGTGGATTGGCATTGTAAACGCTGTGGAGGAGGGACTGTTGATCGCTTTGTTTGTATTTCAACTTCCACTATGCTTCAATCTTATAGGCGTACCACCGAAATAACACTGTGTCTATCTCAACTATCACGGTTGTTTCTGTGCATCAGATCTAATTAAACAAGTGAATCATCTTTCATGGACAGGTCAAAGTCTTTTTTCTAACGAAGAAAAGAATTGGTTACGATCAAGTACGCTAATTCTCACACTCACTGCGTATGCATGAAAAGGTATGCATGGTTTTGTGGTGACCATTTGAAGGACACCCCCCACCTAAACCTACTCTGGGATGCGAAAGACAGAAAGCTCAAGACCCGCCATTTCATAATCCTCGGGATTATTCATTGTGGACAACAGTACACGTCCAAGCCCCTCGTTCCCAAGCAGAGAGTTGTAGATGATGCCGATGGGCGAGACAGGGACCATGACTGAGCAGTCGCTGATAGACAACAATCCTGGAGCAAGCCGCATCAGCCTCAACGCCTCGATTGCTGGCTGCCATTGATACTTCAACTCGTCCGGTATGTAAAGCGGGTCTCTAGCGGTCTTTTGCACAGTGGCGTCCATATCCATTGGGAAGGGCTGCGGCCGACGGTCACCCGTCCGCAGAGCGTAAAGCATATGCATGAGGTAAATCAAGGCAGAGTTATAGACCAAGAGATCGGTCACCTGATCCGCCGTCTGAACCTCCAACGCTTTCGACAAAAGATCCTTCACCCAAGCCTGTGGTACGTCGTCTGCAGTTATTGGAAGCCACACTTCTGCTGCCGCTTGAGGGTTGGCAAGCTCCCAATTCCTTCGCCACTCGTAGAACCGTGCGAGCAGAGCTCGAGTCCCCATTTCTACCTCGATTTTGTCGTCCTCTGAGAGAGTAGCAGAAGATGGACCCAGCGAGGCCCCCAAGCCCGGTAGTTCGATGTACAGATCTATCAAGATGTCGTACGAAGTCTTGCGAGTTTTCATCCAAGGGATAGTCTTCCATTTCTCTATGTTGAAGAAGGAGGGTTTCTTGTTGTTGAAGGAACTGCAGGACTGGCCATCATATGACCTCGTGAGCTTGCGCCGGGTTTTGTGGGGGGTTTCCAAGTTTCTTTCAACAGATATATCGTAATATGTGACACTTACATGCTGAGCCCTAATCTGGCGGTAAATTGTCAACATGGGCTCCTGCTGGAAGTACTCTGGCCCGCAATACTCGATGACCCGGACAACACCATAGTAGTGGGGAAGATTGGCATTCCCTTCAACGGCATACTGGGCAAATTGTCAGATCTTGTTGAAAGGCCGCGGGTAGTCTTGTACTCACTTGATACATGCACAGTACTATGATCGTAAAAGCCCAGCGCGCCATCTCCGACTTCGACTGTTGAAGCAGAGCCCCATGCAAGCCTCTGATGACCTCGCCATTCATCTCGTACCCATCTGAAAGCATCTTCGGCTCATTTACGGCTTTCCCCATAAAGGCAAGAGCAGTAGCCAGACAGGCTCGATAATGGGCCCTTTCGGCTGGCGTGGACGCTTCGGACATGGATGTTCGCAGTAACGGCTTCCAAAACGGGCCCCAGCGGTAGTTAGCGAGCAGGTGTGAGAATGCCATGGTGTCGCGGAACGCAGTCAAAGGCAGCTCCCTTGTCGTGTCAGACCGGACTAGCGCCGTCACCGCCGGCTTAGGCACCGGGACTAATTGCTGGCTGCCGCTGCTCTCGCCGACTGTCAGGTTCTGCATACGCAGGGGCAGCTCATACCCCTGGCATCTGTGGCCAGACTTAAGGCAGCGATCACACTCGGGACGGCCCTTATCTGCGGTAATGGTGTGGTAAGTTTCATGTTCTTAGGTCACAGTAGAGGGACTTTAGTCTGGAATGGATTGCCTACCACACTTTACTCGTCGTCGTCGGCAAGTGTGACAATAACCGCTGGTTGGCGCGCGTCCCATGATTCCCACGTGCCGTTGGACGTCAAAACAACGGAAGAAAGGGGGAAAATAAAGCCTCGAATCAACGCGAGGACAAGCAATGCCAGAACCAATTTCAGAAGATTGATGGTGAGCGTACGAAGGGCGACAAAGTGGTCGGTGGTCAAGTGTGAGATGCGGACAACTGGCTAATTCTCGACCAAACTTTCCCAATGAACAAGTTAAGCGCTTTTAAAGCAGTTGTTGACATTCAAGGTGGTGGTTTTGGACGTGCACCATGTGTTGAGATTCAGCTCGAGGCGCGCGCAGCTCCATCGGAGGCTTTTGTAATCATGTTGCAAAAGAACCGCGTGGCCCGAAGCGATTGGTAGCGTGTCAGCACTAAACCACTCTGAAATGGCAATTCGAGCTGACTTCGCTTATTGGGTATAGAAGCTGGCTAAGTTGAATACGACGCTAAGTTCTGCAACCATGATTGGCTGAGCGTTTGGGACGAGCCTCCCGATGCGGTAAGTTAGGTCGAGGTGCATGATGCTGCTGATGCCATTGGACACGCTTCTGAAGAGAATTGCTCGAATGTCCAACTGGTTTTGGATTGATGTCATTGACGCAAAAGTTCTTGATATCGTACATCCTGGAATGCCGTAAAACATGCTATTCGGGCGAAGTGTAATTAAGGCGTTTGGGGTCTCAAGGCTGCCACGGAGTGGTCCACTGTTCATGATCATGCATGCGGATGAGGACTTATCCGCCTTATTGACAACTCGGAAAGACATAATCACTGATTCTCGCGGACCAGAAACGTGATTGTGTTGATTCAACATTGTGAAATATTTCCGAGAATATCAAAAGTGCCGGTTCTACATGCGAGGTCTCAGCATAAAAATTGAAGGGCACGTTTTCCATTCTTTAGTACCGTGATTTGACTGTGTTCAAAACCAGTTGAAAGAATTCTCAGTTCCCCATACGGACACGTCCGCGGAGATACCCGATTTGCCAAGTCCTCCCAGCCATGCCTTGATGGGGTCGCTCGTATGCGATACAACGCCTTGAAGATCTCATGCTCACCGGCAGCTTGGAATCCAGTTCCACGGTGGGTACACAGCCTGCAGGCCTGGTCTACTAGATACTGAAACATTGGCTTTGTTGACATGACTGAAGTGCAGAACGAATCGTCACATAATGCTTACTACCCATAAGGTACCTATTAGGTCAGTCATGCTTTGGCTTCGGGTTTAACAATTGCTGCCCGCAATGAAAACGAGGGATCATCGGAGAACATAGAGAGAATGTCTGACTTGGTTAAGATTGTATCAGTCAGATTTAGTAGAGCTCCAGGCTATTCAGCCTGTTGGTGCGTAGCTCTCATCTCGTTGACTGGTAATGCGATGAGTTTCACACAGATTGTATCTTACTGTTAATCCTGACCGTGTACGTTTTTTGACAGCGTGTGTGCAATAAGTCCGGACTTCTCTCCTTTCTCTCTTTTTTTTTCATGCTGCTTGAGCTCAGTATCATTAACCCAAGTCCACCGGCGCCAATTATGCGGGACCCAGTTAGCCCCGTCGTCCCCATTGCGGCTTACTCGATAGAATAAGCTCCTTGTTACTCGATCGAATCGCGATCCGAAAGCTGATTGGCTGCACCCCGCACACTCGACGGACGTCAATATCTGAGCAACCGACGGGATATCAAAGCCAAGCCGACAAAGGGAATGTTAGGCTACCTGCAAGGAACGGACATTCCTTGGAAAATCGCGATCTGCAATGCAGCTGCGGGAAGGATTGCCCAAATAGTTGAATAAGTAAGTTGATGCCGCTCAGCGATCCTCGGCGCCTCCCGACTCGATCGTTTTTGTGGCACTGAAGCCATCCCACTTGAGCTACGCAGCAGCCCATACAAGCGGACCTTGACCGAAAAGAAATAGGAGTTGGTAGAATATTGAGCCTCCAGTTGCGGAAAAATTCGGAGTGCTACTTGATTTCCCTGTCTGCTGATCAGCAGCCACTGCGCAGTTGCTCTCTACTTACTCTGCAGTGAGGCCTGCAGTGAAGCCTTCAGTGAAGCCTGCAGTTGAACCTCCCATGTGTCATGCCAAGTCTTTAGCTAGCATCCGAGCGAAGCTACAGACATCATATCCCACACCTTTCGCGTATGCAACTAGAGTTCATCATGCGTGGATGTCGCAGGAAGACGACTAGAGCAGTTACTATACACGATCAACTGTGACAAAATGTAAATCTGCACGGAATGCTAGAAGAACATGAACAGAATGAAGACAAGAAAGCTCATGCCCTGCCAAGAAGAGAATAGACCTGGACGGAAGATAGATCATTCAAATCCAGATACAAGAAGAGTCCACCTCAAGCCACCGACACACACATTACTGGCACACCTCCATTCAAATACCTACCTTAGAGTGCCAAGCCTGCCAGGAGACCCTAAGATCCTGGTCGGGAGATTCCATGCTTTCAACCTGTCTTTTCGGGAACATCGGACCAGAATATAGCTCAACCTTCTCACGATCCCCATGTGGGACCCAGATCTGATAGATATAAAGGCCGGTCCGGCCACGCTGATTTAGGCCACTCTCATCTTACCGTCGTCGTCAAGAAGACAACAGCAGCAACCGATATAGATCTCCCTCCATCATGGTTTTACCCCGGCTCTCCGGGGTGGTCCTCTTTGCGACATGCATTCAGGCCCTGCTCCCGAACAACTCTTCGTCAGACCTCCTCGTGTTTGCGTCGTCCCGCGTCGTCCTAAGCGGATCTGTGAGCGAGGCAACTCTTGTGGTCAACACGACAACCGGCAAAATCATCTCAATCGGCAATTCCGTCAGATCACCCTCCGAATTCCCTCCAGGCACCGCCTACACAGACTATTCACCAAAGCTCCTGCTCCCTGGCCTACTAGACGCCCATGTCCATCTCAATGAGCCCGGACGGACGGAATGGGAAGGCTTCTGGACCGGCTCTAGAGCGGCCGCATCGGGTGGTGTCACGACGCTGATCGACATGCCTCTTAACTCTCTTCCGCCAACAACCACTGTCGAGAACCTCATGACCAAAGTCAAGGCGGCCGATGGCCAGTGCTGGGTTGATGTCGGCTTTCATGGTGGTCTGATACCCAACAATACGCAGCACCTAAAGTCTCTAGTCGATGCGGGTGTACGCTCGTTCAAGGGGTTTCTCATTGAAAGTGGCGTGGACGAATTCCCAGCCATCGGTCCCAACGATATCGAAGCAGCTATGCATGCCCTTGCCGGCTCGCCTACCACGGTTATGTTCCATGCGGAGATGGTACCTCCCAACGTGACACTCGTCGGCTCTGGCGCACCATATACCGGTCCTCTCACGAGCTACCAAACCTATCTGGGCTCTCGACCTCCAACGCTGGAGACCTACGCCATCAGTCAGATTCTGTCCAAAGCCCATATTGCACCCGATCTGGACTTGCACATTGTGCATCTGTCTGCCGCTGAGGGCATCCCTATGTTGCGTGAGGCAAGGGACCGTGGCATTCAAATCACCGCCGAGACGTGCTTCCACTATCTCAGTCTGGCCTCCGAGGAGGTTCCCGAGGGAGACACACGCTGCAAGTCAGCCCCTCCAGCTCGCGACCTATCCAACCAGGCCCTTCTATGGGAGGAGCTCTCGCGTGAGAATGGCGACGGTGTCATCAAGACCGTAGTCTCAGACCATTCGCCCTGCACACCGGACCTGAAGTTGATTCCCGAGTCACTGCCTGTTGCCCCGCACAGCCATCAGGGCGAGGATGGTGACTTCTTCAGTGCGTGGGGAGGTGTCAGCAGTCTCGGCCTGGGTCTCTCCATTCTTTGGACACAGGCCGATTCTCGAGGTATCACCATCGAGGATATCGTCCGATGGACGAGTACGAATACGGCACGTCAAGTTGGCTTGGAACAGGAGAAGGGTGACCTGGGCGTGGGATTCGACGCTGACGTGGTGGTCTTTGATGATACAGCTTTTTTTGAGGTCAACACCGACACCATGTTCTTCCGAAACGAGGTCTCCCCCTTCGAAGGAAAGACACTCAAGGGAGCCGTGGACGAGACTTGGCTGCGCGGGCGAAAGATATTTGATCGTACAACGGGATTCGATGAGGAGCAGGGCCCGGTCGGAAGAACTATCCTGGAACCGCGGCGGCGAAAGGCTGTGAGAATGGTCTAGATCACAATGTGATCTGCCATTGGTATACCTTGTCGAGTATTTCGACCATTGCTAGAGGCGCCTGAATACGTTTTGCCGTATGTTTGTAGCATTGAATTCACCTTAGCTCCAAGTGGGTTGCCTGGAGTGACATTCGCGTTTGTACAGTGAACTATCGTCGGTGGGAAACCTTGCAACTTCAACGTATGTAGAGTAGTGTTATAAATGATATCATCGCTATGCTAATCCTCCCGAAAGATGTTCAAAAGCCTCCATCAAGGTGGCCAGAAACAGAAATATCAAACGGTGGGTATCAGGCCTGAAATGGCCTCATTTCGCTGGACGTAATCGCTCGCTTGCTGTTCGTTCCTGCGTGAAACCCACGGATCAGTTCTTGCCTTGACCTTTTGATTCGCATTTCGTCGGGAGGTTGGCTACTAACCTGCGGGACAAGAAGTAACACAAGTATTTGTCAAGCCAGTGAGAGGCCCTTTGCAGCAGTAGCTGCCGCCGAGCGGACGAATGGTGTCTGTAGAAACGGACTGGCTGCAGCCGTTACATGACCCGCTACCATCGGGGAAGGTGCAAGCCTTGAAGCAACCAAAGTTTCTGCATTGGCTGGTTCCGTCGGTGACCTGAAGGTCGAAGAGCTCGGATTCGCCGTTACCACACGCGGCGAAAGCCTGAGCTGCGAACAGAGCAACGAGCGGCAAGAGTTGAACCTTCATGTTGGAAACGTTGACGAAGAGCGAGAGAGTACTCGTGGCAACGAGAGTGGTGTAAAGATTGCAGCGAAAGGGATGCGATGATCAACATCGCTGACATGAACCGAGGAGACACTAATCTTTATATGGAGTGCGTTGATAAACAATAGAAGCTGGATATTACGAGACTCTGGGAAAGTCTAACAAGTGTACCCCTGTCTGGAACCATGCTACATTTGGTAGCACATTCGTATCAAGGCATTTTCAAATCCCGTTCACTGTGGAGATATTCCGACGTACGGCTTCGGCAGACTAATCAGTCCGAATAGCGACTGGTCATTCTGATCATAAAGTTCTTTTCTACTCATAAGAGGCTGTGCAGATGATGCGTCCATGTTCCTAAGATGTCAAACAAATGGTCCGGGCGTCGTGATTGAGTCGCGCAAAGACGCCCTGTCTTGAGTAACCTGGCGGTCTTTACGTCGGCACAGGCGAGGGGAAAGGCAGATGAAGCGTCCGTAGGGCGTAAAAAGAACTAGCTGTAGAGTGCAGGTCGGTATATTCGCTAAGTGGTAAGGTTCAACCCCCAGGCAACTGTTTCGCCAGACTCCTTGATACTGGCGGCAACAGGGAGCCGTTACGGATACACGCTCACGGGCGCATAACCGGCCTGATCACACTCAGTATCACGACTCATGACGGCCCCCAACAGGCCCCGGGGGAGCCGACTATCCCAAACCTCCAATCCCTTGGCCTAATCATGCCGATCGTATTCTAGAATCTTTCATGGGGCGACCCTCCGCACCAGATTCATCCAGCATAATATCTACCAGATGAACCAGTACATCCTCAAGCATCCCGGCTATTGTTAGTGAGAATAGACTTTACGCGTATCCGGGTGTACGTGCGTTACCGGTAAAACGGCTCGCTTTCGAAATATGGCAACAGTCGTCTGGGGTACTTGCAAATGAGAAAGCACTATTCTCCGTGCCGATTCCGAGCGGCATAGGACATGATAAACGTCACGGACTGAAAAATTGATTGGCTCGATGAAGAGTTTGAAGATGTCGATTTATTGAAGCTGTCGATCTCATACCTTACTAAGCTTTTCTAGTGAACTGTAGTCTGATAAGTATGTGAAATGTTTCCTTTCCGATGAACAACCCGCACAGCCTGCGATGAGGTCCTGACCCAACGTTCAATTACCTGCAGTTCGATCGGCCACAATCGGCGAAAGTCCGATCACTGAACGACACTGACAAGCGAGAAGCAAGCTCTCCCCAGCCCACGGAAGTCGCCCGTGCCCGCATTGCCAGCCGGCGAAATCTGATTTCCCGTCTCCCAGCCCCAAGACACCACGAGCTCAACCTAACGAGAAACTTAAAATCGGTTTTGAATCCTTGGCTTGGATGAACAGGGTTCGAGGACGCCAGAAATCGCCTTCCTTCTCGAATAATGGTAACGTCTCCCGACGGTCAACGATGCTCCACGTCCACCAATACCGACTATTTGGTCATACAAATTCCCACTCAGTTAGCTGGCCCCTGTCAATCGGCCACACCTCGCCTCGCATTTTTCCGTGGACAAGTGCAGGAGATACCATTTCGAAATATGGCCCCTGGGGTCGGACAACTAATGGCACCGAAAGCCCCGCAAAAACGCAGATTAAATCGCCCTCAAGTATCTCACTGTTCGCTTTTCCAAGCCTGCCCGACTCAGTAACGAACAGCGCTCCGCCAGCTGAGCTGACTATTAGCTCTGTAGCAACGTTCTCGTTGTATTTGGTGAGTTCCCATATTTCTTCCGGGCTTGTCTGCTTGTCAAGTAGTCTCCAAGCCTCTTCCGAAGCGGGTCGCTTCAATTCGTCATTCACCAATTCAATCTTGAACAGTTCTTTGAACCCAGCTGTAAACCCATCTCTACTGATCGCGTTTGTGCTCAAAGACTTGGTAATAAAATCCGGAAATGAGTATCCGAACTTGGCCCTCACTTCTTCATTGGCTCGATCCACGGGATGGAGTTCTTGACTGATGCATGGACCGACGTTGTCGATTTTTGTTCCCTTCATGACCAGTCTCAGGCCGTCGGCACTGAAGTTGATTGACGGTTCAGCGCCATTGCAAGCATTGACCTCCGACGCCGCTGATTCCCAAAGTCTCCGACGAGACAAGACGCTAGTTGGTTCTGCAACCCAGTTGACTGCCCAAGATGGCAGCGTCGGGGAATTAGGCTGGACAAATCCATGCAGCAGAACCTTAAGATTCTGGTGCTTTGTGATGAGCAGTCTAGTCGCTTCGGAACATAGCTCTTCGGGCGAACGGTCGTAAGATACACGGATCTCTTGAAGAACACCGTGGAATAGTTCTCGCAGGGCGAATATCTTATCCCGCGGATCCGACGCCTTCATTCGAAGCATGTTTTGCAGTGAGAGGGCCATCATCCACGGGGGCGGCTGCGACGTGTTGACGTACTGCAGGGATTGAAGAAGACTGAAATGGAGATACAATCGGTTGCTGACCTGATGATCAAAAATGTTCGGATATGCAATGGCGCGGACGGTCGAGAGTGGGCACAGCTGGCCAGTGACACAAAGGAAGGCGGAAGTAGTGTGTGTGCACTCTTGTAAAGTCCACATTCGAGACCAGTACGGTGCGCGAGAGATGTTGGATATGATTTCTTTTCTGTGACCTACATCCATGATCAATAGTCAGTCATGTCTTAATCAAGTGCGAAGATAATTTGGTGAAATTCCTTGCCTTTGGCAACTAGATTACCAACAATTGGGTGCAGCCACTTCATGAGTGGGACAAGCCACTCAGGCTCGTAGCCATTAGTCGTGAGGAAGCGAAGTAGCTGGATCATCCAAAGGCTCTTGAGATCAGGCGGTGCGCAGCTCATCCCGAGCCATAAGATGACCCGTGAGGCACGGCTATAGATCTCGGCCATCATCCCGACTTGTGTGCTTTTCTCTGCATTGGATGACTGATTGATACATATCGCATCGACCCAAAGTCCAATCTGAGCTACCGTCCCGCCGACGATGCGCTTCCGTAGAACTCTCAAGGCGGATGCACAGTTGGGCGTAAGAAGCAAAGTCTGGCAATTGTAGCTCGTAGACATGACTGTCATGCTTTCCGAAGGTGACTCATCATTCCAGGTGTAAGACAGAGTTTCATACTCAGGCGGACTGTCTAAGTTGACCTCAATCAAGTCGCACACAAGAGGTGCATCGGCATTCGTGCTGGAATGAAGTATGACCAAGCGGATGGATCGAGCGCTTGCGAGGGAACCATAGCGGTAGCTGTTGTTGGTGTTCATGGCAAACAGACTCGAGGCCTGCCTTAATTTTTCGATGCCGATGGTTGTTCTTGCGAGCGAAGGGAAGGGTTTGGATGACGGTCTTTGATTCAGCTCTAGTCGGTAGTCTACTCGTGATGTTCACGACAAAGTGTAAGATCAGGTGAGAATGGCTCAGCCGCAGCTGAATTGTAGAAACATACGAACGTGGTGTAAAGCGCAATTATTGGATAAGACGAACCATGTTTGCACTGAGTCCTTTCATTGGTTGGAAAGGGGCGACGCACCTCGCCTTCGGACTAACTACTTTCAGACTGTCCTTCGACGAGCCTGGTCATGTAGCGATCATAAGGCGGTACGCGGTGCATTCTGAGTAGGTTCAAGAAGTCCGTCTATTCTGGCACGTAGCAGCTGAATATTCGACATTGATATCGACAGGATCATCAGTACAACTACTCGTTTGATAGGCTTGTCGAGCACAAAAGCTGTTTCATGGGGTTTAGTGTGGCTGTCTATTCAATGGAAAGAATATGGTACATCTCTCATTGGCCACCCATTCACTCATGCGCCCGAGTGGGAGAAAACTGAAACACAATTTTATGTACGTAGAGGTACAATGTATGGTGGTGAAGCCGCAGACACCATCGTAGCATGCTCAGCAGCCAACGCACACCTCGTAACTTAGGGAGGCAATGAGAATCACCCCAACCCCGGATGATTTACCAATACTTATAAATCCTTATCTATTTTTGGAGTAATTACTTGTCGTTTCTACTATCTCAGAGCTACCTCAGGACTACCAGCATCCTCATTGAATGTAGATAGCTTGGAAGAGCGATGGACTGCGACCTGGAACAGCAGCATTGTCATGAGAAATGTACGAAAATTCTGTGCGTTGAATCGTCGCGTGCCTATACAAACTTAATGTATCTAAAATCCGACGATCAGTCTACCGTTCAAAAGATTTCTTTGTGCCATGCTGAAGCCACGTGAACTCGAGAGGGGGAAGAAGGGGGTAATCAGAATTTCATTCCCAAGCCGTTGTCGGAACGGACCAATGATACTCTGATATTTCCTGAAAGTTTTATGAACCCGTGCCGGTCCAATCGCAGTCTAGAAAATGAGCAAGAATGGCAAGGGGGATAGTTCTTACCCCAGTTCCGCCAGGCTTTAAGGTTTGGTAAGGTTACTTCGCACGAACTCAAGGTCCGGATTGGTCCCGCGTCATCCGACCTTCGCTCACTTGAGCTTCTTAAAAACACCCGGTCTGGAACTTTTCAGGTGTGATGGTACTAGGTGTTCATCACGTCCGTCAATATGTCGCCAAGTTCCCAATGGCTTTGGATGGCCCTCGCGATGGCAACTGCCTCTGCGGCACAAGCCTCCAGTGTCATGGACACATATGACTATATAATCATAGGTGGCGGAACCGCGGGCATGACTCTAGCTTCAAGATTATCTGCAGTTCCGGAGAGTGGGGTTGATCCAAGTTCAAACTGAAGCTGATGTTTGACAGCTAACCGTGCCCGATCATAGATACTGTGCTTGTTATTGAAGCTGGGTCCCTGTTCGTGTGCCCTGTTTATTGAAGCAAATTGTCAGAGCGTTTCTGACAGCTATGAGTACAGAGACAATTACGAAGCTGCAGTCATGATTCCTCGATTTTATCCAGGAGCATCTGGCTTCGCCCCTGGAACTAGATACGACTGGAACTTGACGACGGTGCCCCAAACATTTCTCCAAGGGCAGACTGTCAATCTGACTCAAGGGCATACCATCGGAGGCAGCAGTACTGTGAACGCGATGATCTTCGACAGAGGGATGCCGTCGAACTATGATTCTTGGGCTGCACTTGGTAACGAAGGCTGGGGTTTCGAGAACCTATTACCGTACTTCAAGAAGGTTGAACTCATGTCTTCAAATCATCAATCCTACTTCGTTTGCTAATGACGCAATGCCAGAGCGAGACCTTCACAGCAGCGACTCCAGAGCATGCCTCACTCTACGGCCTGACGCACGACCCAGCTTGCCATGGATACGAAGGGCCAGTGCAGTCAAGCTATCTCGCATGGTCGCATCCAAACAACAGTGAGTAGCTTCTTCGACCTCATGTCGCGGATAGTACAAAACTTAATGATGCAGCCAACTTCCTCGACGCGATGCATGGCCTTGGCATAACCTCGCCGATTGATCAAGGATGTGATCCTCTTGGGGCCTACCTTACGACGCACTCGGTTGACCATCGAAATCAGTCGCGATCAAGTGCCCGAACAGCTCACTTTGACGCTACATCAACCAGGGCCAATTTGAAACTGCTGACTGGACATCAAGTCACCAAGATAATTCTTGATACGACAGAGGGGAAAATGATTGCGAAGGGAGTCGAGGTAAGTTTATTCGCCAATCAACCCAGTAAGGCTAATCTTTGAAACGTCGCGCAAACAGTTTTCCTCGACCACCGATGGCTCTCTCCAGAGTGCTGTTGCTACCCAGGAGATTATTGTGTCAGCAGGTGCTCTGAACTCCCCAAAGATTCTGCAGCTGTCCGGGATTGGCCCAGCTTCTTTATTGACTAGTATCGGGATTAATGTTACGGTCGACTTGCCTGGGGTAGGCGAGAACCTCCAGGACCACCCGTTTGGGCTGACTCTCGCGTCACGTCGGTTTACTCACCTGCTGTAAGCTGTTCTCACTAACTTTAAGACAGTGAACCCCGGTATTTCTGCAAACTCTGACCTTGACAATGCAACCTTTGACGCTGAGCAACGGGACCTCTACTATGCTGAGAGAAAAGGTAAGCTGCTCGATGACCACTTGTACTGCATGTTCTCGAAAGGCGCTGACTAAACGCAAACGTTGCCAGGTCGTTGGACTGACACTATTGCGGAAGCGCTCGCTTTCATCCCGCTTTACAACTTCACTGAAGCCGATTTGTCTAACAACCTCATTTCGTCTATTGAGGCGAATTCTACACAATGTCTACATGACAGTATCGACAGTACGGTGGTTGCTGGCTATGAGAAGCAGACAGGGTTGATTGCGTCGATGCATTCGAAAGGCTCCACCGCCGCAATGGAACTGCTCTACGTTGACGGAGGTCGCTCAGTCGTCAATATCCTAATGCATCCACTCAGCAGAGGAACGGTATCAATCACGTCATCAGACCCCTTTGCACCTCCCGCCATCGACCCCAGGTACTTTTCCCATCCTTACGATGGGCAGGTGCTTGTCGAGTCATTGCGGTTTAACAGGAAACTGTTGGCGACTGCGCCCATTCAAGCTCTAGGCGCAACCGAGACGCTTCCGGGAACGGCCACCGAAAGCGATGCGGACATACTGAGCTTCATCAAAGGGGTCACCTCAACGGAGTACCACTATGTAGGAACTTGCGCAATGCTCCCGAAGGCTCTGGGTGGCGTCGTGGACGCTGAGTTGAAAGTCTATGGTGTTGATGGTTTGCGAGTCGTTGATGCGAGTATCATGCCCCTGTTGCCATCGGCGCATACCCAAGCGACGGTGTACGCAATTGCAGAGAAGGTGAGTATTTTCTAGTCCGAATCAAGAGAGTTTGCTAACACCCAGTCTAGGCTGCAGATATTATTTTGGGACATTCGGTAGAAGGTCGTGAATAATCAATCCCAGATTGTGGGACCACACTGCCTGAACCTCAAGAGTTGAGCATGCTGCCTCATCGCGCACGCGCCTTTGGTTACAGAGAGGTTTAATAGACTTAGGTTGTGTGACCTGGCTGTTGTTTAGATGCCACGGTGGCTGGGTTAGACCTGGCACAGGATCAGGAGGCTTGCCAATTATTGAACACATTCGTAATTCCAGTTTTCGCAATTGAGTCCCGAAACTTTGTTCAATCTTTGACAACGAATGTCTCTAGATCTCGGTGCGAAGATCTTATTCTGCATCACGTGTGTGCAGCCATTCACATTGCCGGATGTCGGCATTCGTAGAAATAGTTGGGGCTGGAAGCCGAAAAACCGCTCTAGCCAATGGTGTGTCGCTCGCAAAAGGGCCACGATCGATGAAGGATTCAATCCTGGTGTGAACACAACCAACCAACAACCGTCACAAACCACCAACAGACCAGTCCTTTGCATAAGCGCTGACTTATTCCCATCCAACAGCTCACAAGGCTGTTGCCGCCATGCCACTGCCGCCGCGATTCGGTGACGGCGGCGGGAAGAGTCCACGCGAAAAGAATCTGGACGCCTCTGTGAACCGATCGCTGACGCTAGTAAGTCGATATGGAAGACTAAATACACTTAGTTAACAGCCAGCCGGACAACTAACGTGCCTAAGAGATCTACCTTCACCGCCAGCGAGCTTTTGTGAGGACGAATGACCAAAGTTCCATCAAGCTGAACAGCCCTGCATGACACCCATGTCGAATACCACCAACTGAATCACGTCTGCCACCGGGGGTAAACAGGGGCTTGCATGTCCTTAGCGAACCATTTAGCGGGTACACAAACCGATTTGTAGCTGCCTAGCTGAGCTGATGTTTTGTCTCAGCAAGCTCCCGGCTGAAGACGCCGAGAGCCTCCTTAAATCCAACGATCTCCCTCTTTCTCTCAGCTCACCCGCCCGGCGCAAACACAGCTCGCCGTTGATCGATGAGGTCGGAGCAGAATCAGCGACAACAATCCCGAGGACTAGTGGTCTAAGCCTTTCAAGCGGCCAATTGGAGAGAGTCTAATCCGTCAGCAGTGCCGCGACTATGTCGTCGAACAGCACTGACAGCAGTGGGGGAGGCGGCGGAAAAGACGACGACCTCGAGCTGATCGTGGCCGTTGTCGCGTTGGTTATTTCCGTCCTCGCGTTCATCATTGCCATTTTCCAAGCGCTACAGCAGTATTATGCGTCAGCTACGGGGTATTCATCATGCACACCAAAGGTCATGGGAGATTGGGCGCAATTCACACGGCGCATCTTCAAATGGTACGAATTCCGCTTCGAGGTCGAGTTCGAGACCCCCGTCATCTTCGTCGCGCCCCCGACAAACCCGAGGGGACCGTTGGGAGAGCACAAAAACAAGGAAATCACCTACATGGTTGGAACGCCTGACAGCTACAAGAAGACGTACACTTGGGACCAAGACCAATATAACCAGATCGACAAGAGCTTGCGGGCTGGTGACACTCGACAGGCTATCCATACCGTCGACAACGAACTCGCCAACTGGTTGGGGCTCTTGATGGCAATCCAGCGCATGGAGAAGGAGTCGCGAACATGGCAGGACAACGAGTATTTCGGCCACACCCCACAATGGCAAGAACAGACGCAGTGCCATCCCAATCCGACCAGCACATTCGTCCCGTACACCCTCACCGTCGGCATGCAGAGGAAGAAGAAGTCCTGGGACAGCATGCCCGACAACATGAAGAAGCCATACGCCACCACGACCATCTCACATCTTGTCGAGATGGCAGCTATGCTGGGAATCTACTGGAAAGAGTTCAACAGAAACGAGGATCGCTACCGCGCTCAAGGAAACGGCTTTATGATCACTGGTTACGACGTGGATGACTTGGGGGTCGTCTTTACCTTCCAGAAGACGGGGCCGACTTGGTTCCATGAGAACCGCGTTGTCCCTCACAACAGCGTCAAGGAGCTCTGCTTTGGTTACTGCCCAACGATATTCCGCCAACAAAATAGCAGCAACCACAAGTACACAGACGAACCGAAGGACATTGGTACTTTGCAACTAGGAAGCATGTCAGCCATTGCAGAGACTCTTGTTGTGCTCGGCTGCAATACCAACACCGTCAAGTACTTCCGAAAGCCGACGTCTGATACCCGGCACACCCATCTTTTTCCTAGTAAGCCATATCCAAGACCCCGTCGACGCTATTACCAGAAGCTAACATATTTCCAGTTGCATTTGAGCTTCTCGGCATGACCGGCGTCGCCCTCCAAATCCCCGGCACTGCCTTTCGAATGCTCCCCAACCCAACGATTTGGCATTGGGATAGAAAGTCATTCTCACTGCGCACGTTTCTAGGCGACTTTGTCCACGGCATGAAGGAAGCGTCTTCCAGCGACGAAATGTTCAGTGAAGAAGTCGGATCATCCGTCGCCACCATTCACAAGGAAGCTGCCAAGATTGAAGACAAATTTCAGGAGCTAGAGGCACGCGACGGGCCGGAGGCAATCCTGAGGCGCACTCAAAATGTCGAAGAAAGGATATTCTCCAACGACCTTGTCATGTCTCTCCACTCCGCCATCGCCAAATGCGACGAGTTCCTCAAGAACCAGGAACGCATTACGTTGGTTCAAAACGTTGTACGCGTCCACTTCCAGGAGGTGCTGCGTATCTTGAACGATAGGGATGGAGAATACAAAACCGTTGTCGTAACTCCAGCTAGCGGTGGCAGGAGTGCCAAGGATGTGGTTCAAGAGCTTGTCGTGCCTGGAGCCTCACCCATGCCAAAGACACAAGAGGAGACCGCAGAGAGTCGGAAGGAGATTTCTCTACTCCAGAAGCTAGACTCAGCCTCTTCGAGCGAGAGGCATTCGGTCTTGGTCGAGATTTATCTGCTTTCAGTCCGAAGGAGAGTCATTGAAGTAGTTTGCCGTCATTTGAAGCACGAGCAGGCTCGAAGGGAACGAGGTGCAAGGTCAATCGCCTCAGAAGCTTCCTTGGAGCCCGGGCTCTCAAAAGACCAAGGGCAACAGATCAGCGATATCTGGTGCATGTTGGTGTTCCGCATGGTGTGCTGGCTACTTTTGCATGATTTCCACGGGAAGGATATCCAAGTTGAGAAGAGCGATGTGTTCGGTAGCCGTATGCCGGTCTACATCACTTAGACTCTATATCGACTGGCAATAAGGGGGATTTCAATAACGATGGCATGTAATGATAGTTGACGAATTTCATGATAATCAAACCAATCGGGAAGATCAAACACACTATGTCGAAAATTCAGCGGGTTATGATACCCTATGATGTGTGAATATTTACTCAAATTTCATTTTGGTCTCTATAGTCTCGTACACCTATTCCTCCTCGCACCTGATATCATGTCTCATCATTTACTCATTGCTTTCCATTGGCGCCATTCTCACGGCCACCCAGTTGAGAGCGAACGCTCGGCAAGATGTAGCGACCATAGTCAATGGCATCGTTGAGGTTGTCGTAGCCACGAATGGAGATCAACTCAGCACCGAGGTCGACATAGTCGAGGATAGAGTCGACCACAGTCTTGTGTGAGCCGACAAGTGCCGTCGAAGCGCCACGTGCGTTGGTAGCCGTGACCGTAGGGTACCACAGAGCACGATCTTGAACCTCCCCACGCTTGGCAATATCAAGCAGACGCTGTGAACCAACATTTTGGGGCTGACCAGCACTGGCGTCTTGGCCGTTCTTGCCCTGTCCCGCAGCAATATTGCCCTTCAGAGCATCCAGCGTGCGGTGAGCCTTGTCCCAGGCGAGATCGTCCGTCTCAGCAACGATAGGACGGAAGGTGACCCAGATACGGGGACGGTCCTTGCGGCCAGCCTTCTCCGCTTCCCCGTAGATGCGATCGATCTGCTCCTTTGTCTCCTTGAGAGGCTCGCCCCAAAGACCAAAGATGTCTGCCAAGGACCCGCCAATGCGGTACGCCTCATCTGAAGAGCCACCGACGGAGACTGGGATAGTGCCGTTGGTAGGACGGACCTTGTTGGTGAAGTTCTTGAATGTGTAGTACTTGCTCTCCCAGTCAAAGGGCTTATCAGACTCCCACGCGCGACGGAGAATCTTGATGTAGTCCTCGAGACGGCCGTAGCGCTCGTCCTTAGAGAGGAAGTCGCCCTCCTTGGCTTGCTCCGCATCACTGCCTCCAGCGATGAAGTGCACTACGACGCGACCCTTGCTGAGTTGGTCGAGAGTTGCTAGAGCCTTGGCGGCGACAGTGGGGTAGAGGGTGTTTGGTCTTAGGGCGATGATAACGCTGACATTTTTTGTGACGGCAGCAATAGTCGCGCCAATAGTGAAGGGGTCGAATGAGTCAGAGCCGTAGGGAACGAGGGTGTAGTTGAAGCCGTAGTCGTCCAGTGACCTGGCATAGCGGACCAGGAACTCGGGATCAACGCCCGCGCCAGGGATCGGGTTGATCTCTGTCGAGGCGTTGGGAAAAGTTACGCTGATAAACTCGGTAGGCATTTTGTGTGCGAAGTGTTGTGTCAGACTACTGCATGAGATTCTTCAAAACACTAGTGTTGAAGATGATGTGCACCGTGGTCTATATACATCCGTCGTTGGATATGACGACAACTGCACAGGAATCACGCCTTACACCCATTGCCGATTTCGGCAAGGCGGTTCTCCAGTGGGATGTCACCTCAACTCCATGTCGGTCCAGACTGAGTGATTATCTATGCAGCATGATGATGATCGTTTTTCTGGTCTACTTTGTTGACGAGAGCTTTTGGTTAAAGTTGTCGCTGGCGTTGTCGGGCTTGTTGCGACCGGTGACCAAAGCTTCGGCGATGCATGTGGAGCCCGCTCGGTGAAGGCCCGGATCTCGCCGGAAGCCCGCCGGAACATATACCACACACCGACGACTTCTGAAACTACCAACAGCAGCACATCAAGTTCGGCTCTACCCCGCTTCATTGTCGCACGCAATCCGCAGGGTCTGTTTCCACCCACCCACACCTCGCATGTCTAATCGACCGGCGCTTAGCCAACAATCTGAGCCCGTTGAATGATCAGGAGGCGCAGGAAAGTCCGACCCGGCGTTAATCTTGCCACTGACTTACAAATCAACTTGTCTGAGATTGTTCTGGAACTCATGATTGGCCTCTGCTGAGGCCGATACAAGTTGCCAGCCAAACCCCGCAAAGCACGTCAACGCTTAACTTTACAAAGCAGAGTGGCCCTGCCGTGTGATCTTTCTTCCCACAAGATCAGCTGCACGTTGTGAACGTGAAGGGCTTAGATTCCATGAAATTGGTTTTATTGATTCGAGTTACTTCCGGGTATCTTGGCTGGCGGTTAACAAAGCCCCGTTAGTCGTTGAGCAGATCGATCTCATATGCATGGTTGGCAAAATGGGGTCTATATGATGCAGACAAATAATCCGGAACATACTCAATATAGCTTACCTAGTAAGGTAGAGACCCGTTGACAATCCCATTGCTTCAGAGAAGGCAACTGCGTCATCGAGTGAAATGACCCGGCAGTGGAGAATGATATGGATCTTTCACGCCTGGCCTTGAGAGACTGAGACACTATGATCAGTGCGTAACGTCTTTAAATACTGTCAAAAGCTGCAATTTGATGACTCGAAAGGAAGAGAGTCAACCGAAAAGTACAAGTGTTGATGCAAAGCTCCGCGAACCCCCTATATCAATGCTTCAGATCCAACTGGAAGCTTTTCCAGTTCAATCGGCCCCTTGGTCCCTAATATGGATGCCAACCCTCTTCATATAGTTTTTCATGAATCTCCCCGATTCTCTCCATCCGCTCTTCCTGAGTCATTGCCTCCCACTCCGCCGCTTCTTCCTCCGTTTCCTCCTCTTCCTCATCCTCATCCTCCTCGTCATCCTCCTCCTGCACTTCCCAAAGGCGACGGAGAACTAGATCCAGCCCCCCTGCCTTCCGATCCAAGAGCACTTCGGGTGACCGACGCGGCCATGCGCCCGACTCGTCAGCCCGCCCTACCGTCTTCGAGACGTCACAGGGATCACGTTCAACAGTCCAACCCGTGTTCCATGGTACGTGGTACTCCCAAAGCCGTTGATCCATGATCTCAAAGTCGCGGGCGCCGTCAGTCGACACCTTCAAGCTTTGCAGCGGGGACGTGTTCCTAGGCCCAGCAGCTCTTGACACGACATCAAATATGGACCGTACCAACGTCTCGTTAACTGCGATATTGATGAAATAGTCTCTTACCAACTCCTTTTTGTACGGAGTGTACACGCTTTCCGAATCGTCAAAATCTTCATTGTTCTCGATGCAAGGGGGAAGACAAGATCGTTCTTCAAGCCTCTCAACGAGTGTCTTGTCCTCATCGTTGGGGTTTTCGGGGTATTCGTCGTCAGTGTCTCCGCGATCGTCGACTTCGGAGTCGGAGTTGTGACGTGTGCCATAGCCAGACGAAGAGTCAGAGTCTCCACCATAGGCATTGGAAGAATGTTTCCATCGCTCAAGGTAAGGATCGTTGTAAAGACCTAGCCTTTCGCCCACTCGGCGCGTGATCTTTGGCCTCACCACTTTCAGCCTAATTCGCAACCTGCGGAGCTTGAGGAACTTTCCCAGGGCCCTGTACAAGGCAACCTCGGTCGCATCCCCCTTGGTGCGAGCAATTGTCAGAGCCAAATCTTCAATGTGTGGACTTTCGGCGAGAATCTGCTGCACATTGCCGATATTAAGCGGCTCAGCGGTGCCCTTCATCAGGTCTAATGTCTGCAAGGTATGGCTCAAGCCAGCAGGAAGTCGGTAGAGAGGGCTTCCGCCATCTATTCTCAGAGTGCGCAACTGCGACGAGAGTCCTCGAAGGAAGCCTTCCATTGCTCGTTGATATGGTCTGATCTCGGTAACCCTTCGTTCGACGCTCAGGTCAAGGCATGTCAATTTCTGGAAGTTGCAAGTCGCAAGGAGTCGGAATGCTTCCATAGTCACTCCAGCACAGAGGGAGAGATTCTGTAGCTGGGCGAAATCGGTACGCCTACTCCATGCCTCGAGCGGGCCACGCAACAGCCATGAATCCTCTGAATCCTTCCCATGCTTGATGCGCAGTGACGACAAAGAACCTGCGGTCTCCTTCACTTCATTCTCATGGAGATGTTGAAAAGGGCCCAAAAACACCGGCGGAGTGGAAGGGGATTGTGAGAACAGCATGCTAACCTCCTTTAAATTGGGAGAGATTCTGGTCAAAAGACCTAACACCGTCGCGTTGGCTGCTCTCCTTCCTGATCCGGGATGCGTGTCCTCTGTGTCGTCTTTGAGTTCACTTTGCCCATACCAGCATCGAACACCGTATAGACAAGGAGAGGTGGCCAGCTCCAAGTCAGCATCGTCGAGGCATTTGGCGCTGCGGAACGACTCTTCGGAACTGTGTAGACGAAAATTGCGTATCCAAAGCCTGCACGTGGTCGGCCTTTCGTGCAGAGCTTTCAGCAGCCACCGCGGAAACGGGGCGGAACATCCGAATTGAACATCGGTCAAAACGGACAGCTTACGGACGAGAGCGACCAGTGGAGCCCAGAGATGTTCAATATCAAGCCCGGTATTATGAGCCTTGGCAAGACAATGTAAGTCTTCGCGGTTTCTTTTCGGATACGAAAGATACCCGTCGAAATCGGCTCTGTTTTTGCGCTTTTCATACTCGTTTAAGGGCGGTTGCTGCCATATCTCACGAAGTTTATATTCTTCCGTGGGATAGTCGAGTACGTCGTCAACGACGAGGCGACGCACTGAACTCAGGGTTCCGTCGCGATGGAGGGCGTCAGAGCATAATTGAATATCGCGATGGAACATGGCGACTTGTATCTCCGGCTTCACCCCATACCTGTGGTCGAAGTCTTGCCTCTGGAAAACTCTGAATTTAATAGTGCGAACCAGGATGTGCTTAGCTGCCTCATGGCACGCCTTGCAGGCCAAGGCAAAAGCCACAACGGGAGCGACATGGTCGTCCTCATGAAGGTATTCGCAAATCTGGTCCAAAACTTCGATCGGGAGAGTTTTGAGACTGGCGCGTGGCCGTTGCTGAGTAGCCTCTTGGGGTGCCGACCTGTTCGCTACAGGGCGAGTGAAGTACTGGGGATAAGAACTTAGATTAGCTATTTCTTTATGCACACTTATGCAAGTAAAACCTATGCATGACCTTGCTCATTAGTCGACCCTGTATATGGACGCAATTAAACCCTGTTAAATCATCATTTCGGCCGCAAGTAACTGGGTGAAGTTGTGGAAATCCTCACGAATATCATATTCAAGTTGTCTTGATGATTGTCGTTGGTCAAAAAACCACGGACGGTCGGACTTGTTTCCCGCGCTCAAGCAACCGCACCCGGAGAGTAAAGGTGCCGGCTCAGCGACGTGGCCGTTCTCGGCGGTCCCGTGTGCACAGTGAAATCCCTCGCTGGTCAACGTATGCAACTATATCGGTTAAAGATCGGATAACTGCGATACTCGTCATTTGGCAGACCATTAGATACTGCATAGTGTTTTCAATCTTGGAACAATTGGGGCTAATCCCCCCACTTACTCTCTATTAGCCCCCCGCGATAACAGACCCGCGGGAAAGTCACCAAAGGTATTTAAGTCCTGAAGCCCGAGGCATTGTACTAGTTCGCCAGAGAATCGCGAAAAAGGCCGCAAACACAAGCACAATGGACTTTGGATTGGAAAACCACCGCAATTTCATTGGCAAAAAGGTCTCAGACCTGCCGTCACCATCATTGGTGCTCAGTCTCCCGGTCATCAAGAGAAATGTGGACAAGCTGCATCAAGATGTCGAGAAGGCAGGGGTTACTTTCAGACCTCACGTAAAGACGCTCAAGGTAAGTCTTGGACATTCTTAACGAAAATTTGAGGTTTTCTGACCATTCTCAGAGCACTGAAGTAACGAGATTGATGTTGGGAGACGGCAAATTCAACAAGACAGTCGCATCGACACTATCAGAAATCAGGGGCCTGCTGCCGCTGACGAAAGAGGAGATTTTGGAGGAGGTGCTCTATGGACTCCCCGTCAGCTCAGGCGTTATCCCTCTTTTGAGCGAGTATAGGAAATCGGTCAAGATCCTTCTCATGGTCGACCACGAGAAGCAAATCGATCTTCTGGAAGAATCCGCAAAGAAGAGCGCTGACGCACAGGCACCGTGGGACATTTTCATCAAGCTTGACGTCGGCAGTAAGCGCGCGGGCGTTCCTCTCAGCAGTGAACGTCTGCAGAAACTCATTCAAAGAGCGAATGAGTCTTCGGTTGTGTCACTGTACGGTTTCTACTGCCATGCCGGCCACTCGTATGGATGCGAGACGCAAGAAGAGGCGGCGGGTGTTCTAGCTGATGAGGTCAATGGGGTCATCAGCGCGGCGAAGTTGATCGTCGGGGAACAGCGACTGACTCTGTCCGTGGGCGCCACACCAACGGCGCATGTTGTCGGTACTCTTCAGACCGCCATCCCGTCTAACGTGACTCTGGAGTTGCATGCTGGTGAGCCCCTTGCCATGTTTCCCAAGCGGGAAATAGTTACTGACCTTCAATAGGAAACTTCCCAACCAATGACCTCCAGCAAGTCGCTACCGGCCTGGTGTCGATTGAAGACCAGGCCGTCAGGATAACGGCAGAGGTCTGCAGCGTGTATCCGGAGCGCAACGAGGCACTCATCAACGCCGGCACGGTCGCTCTCTCCAAAGAGGCGGGTGCGTTCCCTGGGTTCGGCAACCCAGTGGGGAAGCCTGGTTGGGCTATCGTACGAATGTCTCAGGAGCACGGCATCATTGGCGAGGTCCAGGCCCCCGGGTCCAAGAACGCTGAGCCGGAGCGCCGGGACATAGAGGCCAACTTCGAAATTGGCGAGAAGTTGACGGTTTATGTCCAGCACTCTTGCATTACGGCCGCGGCGTTCCACGTTTACTACGTGGTCGACGAGAATGATGTTGTGCAGGACACCTGGGTACCCTGGAAGGGCTGGTAGACGGTCAGGACTGTGTCCCGGAAACCAGAATAATGATAGACAAAATGTCCAACTAGGCACACTGGACTGTAAAGATGCGACGTTCAAGCGAAATTCTTTTGTCTAATGGTATCTATCCTGCGTTGACTCCGAGTCCAAATGCCTAAACCCAACATTGCATCCCAACGCCCATCGTAACCCCAATCAAGCAAACGAAATCCATATTTGGTGCTCATTCATCACGCGACAGACACTCCACGGCCCGGACCTCATAGGCGCAGCATCCTCCTCATCCCAAATATGCTGAAGTAATACAGATGTTTGCCGGATGTTTCCTAAACCAATCGACGCAAAAGTATGCCCCAGTCTTTCCCTCAAAAATGTTCTTTGCCCCTCATCAACCACGCAGGACCCAATGACAGCAATCGGCCAACAAAGACTAGTGTTTACCCTCACGGTTGGATCCAGCTGCGCTAAATGTGATAATGCCTCCGCAAGCGCCGTCTGGGTAGCCGCAGCCATGATCCCATTCTCATCCCCAGACAGAGGGTGAAGGGCCGTGTACAGATACAGAGTCACAGCTTTGTGGTACACGTATCCAGCCAGCGCGACGTCTGGGCTGACCGCCGGGTTCGGGGTCCAGGCCTGCACTTGGCTTTGTAGTTGGGCGAAGAGCATGAATTCATCAGCCGAAGGCCGCCAGCCTGCCGTGCTAGAACGGGTCTGTACTCGGCGGGCGAGGTCAAATATTGGAGGGATCAGAAGGATTAGGTTCAGCCAGGTACCACACAAGTTGCCGACATAGGATTCCGCCACGAGCTCCGTCGCCAAGAGGGCCATGTCGTTGTCCAGGAAGTATTGGTCACTGATCCGGGCGTCTATCGAGATCATGCTGAGCGTTGCTGTGTATACGTAGTATTCGACGAGAAATTGTCTCATAGACTTTGGGAGAGAGATGAGGAGGGGGAGTGAGGGTACGATGAGCGACTTCGCTGCGATGAGATGGTCGTAGGTCGTGCCGTTGATGTCGCCTTTGGCTGTCTATTGTGGCTATTAGGAACCATCTAGCCTCGATGAAAGATGTCATGGTAGCAAAGGAACGACAGCTGGGAGATACTTACCTCGATGAAACATAGAATCAGGGCAGCTATGCCCAGTAATAATGTTTGTTCCCTGGATTGCTCGCCCATGAACTTGGAAAGGTTCTGCTGGAACAACCGCAGCGATCGATCATAGTATGTGTTGGCGACACTGTCGAAGTCATTCAGAGACTTTGCTGCTCGATGAACCGCGCTCTGTGCTAGAAGAAGCTGCAAGACGAGGTCGCTCTTAAAAGCCATTGGTATCAACTGCTCGCTGAAGGGGTTCTGTACTGTTGAGCCGTTGGCCATACTGATTGTTGTGGCAGCCAGGTAATGGCTCAGCAACTCCATTGAGAAGCTATCGTTAGTTCCAGGCAGGAATGATAGCGTTCTTGGAACTTGCGTCACTGGACTCGCCGCAGCTCTCACAGGTGAAGCTGTCACCAGGCTCGTCGGAACCTCCGGGGTTTCTTCATCTTGACGACTACTGCCAGGGATGGCTGGCGTAGGAAAGGATAGGAAATCCAGTGATGCCAAGAAGTCGAGAGGGTTCTCTGGTGATGATTGCGGATCATTCGTGTCTGCTGCTGACGCTCGCGTTGGTGGCCGTGGACTCGATCCCGTTGACGCGCCGCTCGGTGACTCTGACGATTGAGATGGCGATGTGTTCTGGCCCATTGGCGAAGAGTGTGAGGGTTGAATGCTTTGGCGAGGCGGAGACTCCTGCATGCTGGGAGAGGCCTCTGACTGGGCAGAAGCGCCGGCAGATTCGCCGCCTTCTTGCCGCGCGGTCTCCGATGCGCCGGCCGGCTTCGGCGGGGCGGTCTTGGGGGCTGCAGACGGGGGCCATTTGCACTCGAGCCGGTTGCGTTCGCAGCCGCGGCACCGCGGCTTCGTCTCATCGCACTTCTTCTTGCGGCCGCGGCACGTCAGACATCCCGTGCGGACGCGGAAGATGGGCCCAGCGAGGGTACGGCGGGGTTTTGAAGAGTTCATGGGATCGGATCAGCATCGGGCAGGGCGCGCGTCACGGCGCCCAGGCTCTGTGTTTGAGACCAGAAAAGTTCGATGGAAGTCTGGGCCTGATAGCGAGATGACCCAGAGTATGTGATGAGGTGATGTGTTGAGGCGATATCCAGCTCCCCAATTGGCGACATGAAGTTGAACGAGGAGCTGTTTTGCATGGGCCTGATAAGGAAAGATTGCGGGGGTCGTTGGAGCGCGGTCCGTCGCATTCACGAAGACCCGCTGGCCCGCTTTTGGGCCGGAGCCATCGCGGTAAAGGTTCGGATTGGTCGGAACGATGCCACGCTACCCCAACAGGGACATCCCGACGAGAGATCAGGGGGATGACTTGTGTTGCATTGGAGGTTTGGAACCACGAAAAGGAGACTTGGCCAAGGCGAGACTGACGCCAAGGTTGAAGTGCGGAGAGATGTGCTTCCCCCAGTTGATCCACCTGTTGATGGTGTTGTGGATATGGGGAAGCAGTTGGCGCGCCTTTCTGTCTGTTGTGAGTTGTAACTTGTGAGGCAGAAATTCTAGCTGAGGGGGCGATATTCACCACTCCGTTGACCGAGTGAAATACGACTGGGGTAGTATGCGGTAGAGTGAGCGATCATGATGTCCATAGTCTGAATATCGCTGTCCATCCCTCGTCTCTGCGCGTTTCGGCAAGGCAACCAAGGCAAGACAGATGGCCCTTAGCTAACCTCTTCATAAGAAATACATCGGATAAGGGTTATAATTTCGGGACTGAATCGATCGCCTGAATGACAAACAATCGATACGCAGAGGCTATAATTCATCACTTGAGATGGTTAGGTTCGGTGATTTGAAGATAATTGGCTTATGTCTCACCCATCACCATGCCTAAGACGTACCCATACCCTAGCGACGATACTGGGCAGATACAAAGCGTTTCATTTAGTTCCACAGCGCTAATGTTTTACTGTTAGCAGGCAGCTAAATTGCCGACTCCAATCAGAGCCAGCTTTTGAGTCGTAGAAAGCAAAGCCGTTTGCTAGCATCGCTTTCAAAGGTACGAATCCGCTGAGCTTAGCTTAAGTCCTCGTCAACCACTACTACCAGCTTACAAAGGCCAATGGCTACCCCCAAAATCAAGATGTCTTCCTCAACGTTTACAAGAGCATGTTTGGCAAGTACGAGGCCAAGGAAGACATTGCCTACGAGTACATCCTTGCGGCATTCAAAGTCTGCGTGGACAAGATACCGACAGCGACTACTGATAGCACGGTCCGAACACACGTCACAGGACACTCTCTTGGCGGGGCCTATTCCTCCTTCTCCTACGCTCAGATTCTCGTCGATGACGCCAAGCTCACCCAGGAGAAAATCCAAACGGGTGACGAATACATCTTCGGATGCCCCCGCGTTGGGAGCAACGATTGGGCAGCTATGAACCAAGACCTCGTGTCAAAGAAAGAAGGTCAGTCTTGGCGTACAGTGAACTACGAGGACCCCGTCCCGCAAGTCCCTCCAACTACCTTGAAGCCCGAGTAGCTGAACTTTCGCCATATTGATAACGGCTTGAGAATTTCCAGTCATCAGAGTCCCCAGCCTATCCCTAGTGAGTAAGGAGGCCTGATTCCACACATTCATCAGCTCAAAAGCTGGGAAGAGATCCTCAAAGCTGTCTATCAATGAACCCACCATCGTGGGTATCCTTGACGCATAGAGATGTCTGATGAGTCTGCTGACACACGTTGCTAGTACCGAACTTCTACTACAACGCACTCAGTTACGCCATTAAGCATACATGATAAAGTTGATTCTGTGGTGTAAGATGAGTTCCGAGGTCTAGTGCTACTCTGGGACTGTTGAGTCCCACCTAGTAGTCAAAGTTGTAGGGTGCTAATGGACTGCCCTTTTGTTCCAAACCATGTTTACTTAAAACTTGAGATACCTATTTGCAAAGCTTTCGTTACGTTCGAAGCTTGTGGGAACGGTCAAAATCCAGATTGATGCCTAATTTTAATATCGTGCCGGTCCAGACCCCTGTCTGCGGCAAGGGCTGAGTTTCGATCACACGCTACATCTGCAGTCAGCTCTAGTGTTTACTCAACCTTGACTGAGGCCCTGGGCGATTCGCTGAAACAGGCTCCCTTGTGGGCACAATGCAACAAAAGAAATAGGCTTACTTCTGCCTGAGAAATTTCATTACAGCGGCACAGCAATTTGCTGACGCACCATAAAAAGGGAACAGCAGTGAGACAATTTGATCATAGTTGCTCACTCATGACTTCACTAATTTTACCCGTTATGAGGTGAATGTGCAACTCGCAGTTCAACATGCATTCATCTTGGTTCGAGTATCCTGTCACAAGGCCGTATCCCTTTCGATGGTTCACACCCGCGGCCATCGGTGGTGGGCTCATTTTGGCAGTGGTGTTTTCCCTAGTCAATTTCAGCTCCAACGGCTTTTACCTCAAGACCATCTACACCGAAAGCCTTAACGACACCGAAGCATCATTCCATTCGAGGTATTATTTGACATCTCAAAGGGCGTATTCCTCTGACTAATTACAAACTACTGCTACAGATGGTTCCAGAAACGGCGTTTCAACTGGCAGAACGATATGAACGCTGAATATCAGCCTCACCTGCTGACGGTTGGGAGCTCTTTCTTCACTTCTAATCTCGAATTTGACTACAAGGTTAAAAGCATCAAGCCTCGGCAGACCGATACTGAGCGTGTGATGGACCATCTCGCAAATTTACCTGCCATTGGCTACAGGAATACGACTCTCGAAGACTGTCATCTCGATACACTCAAGATTAATCTCATCAAAAGCGACAACGCTCAGCCGCCTTCATGGTGGCTATCATGGGGGCGTTCGACAGTAGCAGCCAGCCTTCGCTGTGTTGTGATTTCCGACTCTGGTCTTGTAGATGTCACCATCGACGCTGAATATTCGGGCGAAAGTGACGTTATCTACGACTATGTACTCGATGATGATTACGAGACCCGTTCAAGCGTGTGGTGGGGGAGTCGGCTCTCGAACGCCTACTTTGCTGGCGTTTTGACTGCGACCTCTCAAGTCGTTGGGGATGACCAGTACCTCACCTCTGCTCAGCTCTCCTTTACTGCGAACAGAACGACCAAAGAGTTGGTTATATCCTGAACACATGAGTCTCAACTTATCTAACTTGCCCACAGCATTCGCTCAAATAGCTTCTTCAACCTGCAGTGGTGGCTGGCCTTTTCTAAGGCCCAGATTTTGCATAGCGGGATGCAAGATCTGGGGGACACTGGCTATGACTCAGACATAAGTCCGACTCAGGGACCTTTTCTCAGACTTTGTAAAAGAGAAAGGCCTAAAAATACGTTAGTTTTTCGTCGCGGCACCTTTTGCAGAAGGTCTGCATTACGGGAGAATCATGCACTCCCTGTTTGCCATGGATCTCGGTAACTGCAACGCCTCAAACATTCTCCTAGATGAGGACGGGCTTCAGTACGCGATCATGGCCCCAGACAACAAATTTCGAAGAGAGGGAGGCCTTCTCAACGACTCAGCAACTATTGGCGGCTTGAACCCAAGTCGTTTCAATGAAATCCCAGCCCCTGGTGCAATACTTGGCCGCGGCGGCGATATCGGTCTTACTCCATTGAATGAGACTTATGCGAAGTTCCGGTCAAAAACAGGTCCTCTGTTATGCAAGGATGCCACTATCATGGCCGAGTACCTTTGTTCGGTACCTCAGCAAAAGAGTCCTGCAGTGATGTTCTTGGCCATTTTATTAGCCGACCTGGTATTCCTTCAAGCAGACTGGAAACTGTTCCAACTGGCGGCTGGATCCGCAGCAACGCGCGGGAACGCGGATGCAATGGTTTGCAGAGGCTGTTCGACTACACGGCTGGGTGACACTAGCATAGAAATGGTTCCATTGAGGAGCGAGGCAGGGGAACCCGATGCGAAGTCTTCTCTGAAATCTAGATCTCCATATACGAGGCTGAGTGACCCAGACCTGTCCGTAGACCAAATAGGTAGATAATAATACAATTGGTACTTGGCCTAGACACCCCTCTCACAGCTCCTCTTCCAATCAGCCCTATTATCGCCATCAGGCTACTTCAATGTATCGTCGAAACTCCCTGTGATGGTCAGCTTCATCCCATAGCTTCAGAAAGAGGTCTTACCAATCAGTGACTGCTTCCCTCCACACACGCAGCTCATGTTCTCTCGTAGCAGGAAAGGTCCACAAAATCGTCCCCAAGGATCTCTCTGGCCAAACTATCAGGTGCCTTGAATCTGTGTGTTGCCTCAAGGAGCGAGTCAGGAAGCAACTCAGGCTTTGTGTCTTTGCGTTGGATCTTCGCGGGCGGGATGGGTATGTCCAGCTTCTTCATAACACCTCGCCAGCCCGCAGCCACGATCGCCGTCAGAGCGTAATGGGGATGCAGATCGGCTCCTGGGATGCGCACTTCAAATCTTGTCGCCGCTGGTTTGCATACCGGAGGCGCAATTAGGCGCACACTGGCAAGGCGGTCTTCGAGGCCCCAGCTGATATCTACGGGGGCCCAGAAGTTCTCCACCAAGCGCTTGTAAGAGTTGATCGACGGTGCTAAAAGAGGCATGATATCTGGCAGAGCTACGAGAATCCCGGCCAGGAAATATCTACCAACGTCAGATAGCTGTGCGATGTCTGGCCATGCGGCTGTTTGATCGGGGGGACCCGACCGAGCGAAGATGTTCTTTCCGTCCAGATTGGTTAGAGATACATGGATATGCCCTGAGTTGCCAGGCAGGCCGTGGGTTGGCTTGGCGAGAAAGCAAGGCGTCACTCCGTGTTCCACTCCGAGCGATTTGGTGATCAGTCTGTTGATATTAGTAGCAAGTTTGATAGCCTCAACATAAGTTCGACTCACTTGAAAATGGAAACTTTGTCTGCCATCTCGTCGATTGGGCTGACCGTTAGAGCCTTGAAGTGCGCATGACCGTTAGAAAGTCGTTCAAAAGTTGAACGTATCATTCAAACAACATAGGGCGACTTACAGCCTCGTAGACGCCGGGGCCGCTTTCCGTATGCCAGCCTTCCAACCCGCAGTTTGCCTTCTTGCTAAAGTCAAATATCTCATGGAAGTACTTCTTCGAGGCTATCGGACGTGATGTGCTGTAGCCAAACATGCCGCCAGTAAGAGGACGCAAGGCCGAAGGTGTATTTTTCTCCAAGAACGTAGACAGGTTTTGTCTGCCCTGTGGCAATCCATATCCGTCTTCTGAGGGTGTCTGAAATTTCATGAACTCGAGCTCCACTTCTCAACGTCAGCTCTATGGCTCTCACTCCACTGAAGAACAGCTCAAGGTCAATGAATCCGGGAAAGGGTTGCGTACCTCCAGCAAGGGCTCTACACCCTGCCTCTGCTAACTTATCACATAGCTGATGAATCATGCTACGCGGGCAAGCGAAGACCGGACTGTTGCCTACAGCAAAGCTCAAAAGAAAGAAAGGGATGTCGTCTTCTGTAGGGAGTCTCCGGAAGGATGAAAGGTCGGGGAAAGCAACAAAATCGGCAAATCCATCTTCGCTTGTTGCGATCTTCGTCTCTGTCGTGAATAAAACATCGTGGATATCCCAGGCAAAGATGGCAGAACTCATGCCGAATCCGCCGGTAATACAGGACAAGAACTTCTCCTTGTCCATGATCTTGCCTCGAAGGATACCGTCGGCATCAACTCCTGCGACCCTGACCTTTTCATCATTTGCTAAAATAGCCTCAATGTTGTCCACGGTTGCAATAGTGCTGGCATGTGTGGCGCTTCGGAGGGTGCATAATGTGGCTTGTGAGCGTTGGTCCATTGCTGTTGACGGGAAGAATATGGCGTGCAGGGGATGATGTCAAGGTGCAGTTGGAGATCAAGGGGATGTTCTTGACTCTTTTTAGTTGTCAAGGAGTAGAAAGGGGCTGGTACAAAGTCTTCCTTCTGATCGAACTTACATGGATGTCGCCTGCTCTATGGATTCAGACTCGCCGCCCAGCAACATTGGCTTGCGGATTGGAAGTTGTTGAAGTGACCGTTTCACCCGGCCGGCTATGATCCGACCCCGAAGCCCCGATGTCCGTTATGTGCGGGGGACCTGATGCGGGGCGATCGGGCGGCGCGGTCCGAGACCGCGATAGCGCGGTTTCCCATGGTGCCATCGCGCTCATCACTCCATCATTGTTGAGCAGCACCATGTTTGGAGAGCGGTGAGATTCTGGTGACCCGTGAATACTGTCGGCCTTAGCAATGAACCCCCGTGATCGAGTCGGATACGGCAAACCTTGGCCCGATCGGGGCTCATGATACCGACAACATTCCCTTATCGCGGCAACGATCTGAAGATGTCCCTACAGCTCGGGAACCACCATTTCAGCCGATTTCACTTGCCATCAATGATATGGCGAGGCTATGCATGCCGATAAGCTTTATATCAGGACTTACAGGCCACAATGCATCAATTCCCAAAGTTACGGTGATGCTTACCATAAACTTCCGATAACCATTTTCTCTCCTGGGCATCACCAATTGGTCTCCCTCGGATCCGAGCCATCCTTCTTCCATAATGTCTACCACTGCCATTCAAACGATCTCTCCGTCAACCAACAAGGTCCTTTTCAACACTCCCAGTACGAGTCTTGAAGATGCGAAGGCCATCGCCAAATCCTCTCAGGATGCCTTCCAAAAGTTCAAGCTGTTGTCTCTGTCGGAGAGAAAGGAGATGGTGATGCGAGGCCTACAGCTCATCCAAGAACGCAAGCATGATCTTGGGCGCGAACTCAGTGAGCAAATGGGTCGCCCTATTGCGTACAGCCATAAGGAAATTGAGACGATGCAGAAGCGTGCCGACTACCTTCTCGACATCGCCGAAGAAGCCTTGCGCGATATACCTGGTCGTCCCGAGGCAGGGTTCAGGAGATGGATCAAGAAGGTCCCAGTTGGCCCGACTCTCGTGGTATTCGCATGGAACGTATGTCAATATTCTATGAACGGCCACGAATTCCTGTGTAACTGACCAAAGCCCCTTTCCAGTTCCCGTACCTCATCATCGTGAACGCGCTGGTTCCAGCAGTCTTAGCTGGAAATACGGTCATCTTGAAGCCGTCGCCGCAAACACCTTTAGTCGGCACGCGAATCGCCGAGATATTTGCCGAAGCTGGTCTGCCTACGAACGTCCTCCAGGTAGTCCAGTCCGGAGATCCTGCCGTTCTCAACGAACTTGTGAAGATCCCCGAGATACAAGCGGTGAGCTTCACCGGCTCGACTGCGGGAGGGCTGGCTTTGCGTGAAGCCGCGGCCCATCGCACGATCCCTCTGAACCTTGAGCTTGGAGGGAATGACCCAGCATACGTGCGGCCTGACGCGGACTTGAAATATGTAGCAGCTCAGCTTGTGGATGGCGCTGTCTTCAATTCAGGCCAGAGTTGCTGCGCTGTGGAGCGGATTTACGTGCATAAAGACATCCATGATGCTTTTGTCCAAGAGCTGCAAGATGAGTTGAAGATGTAAGTCTGGTAGAGAATCTGACTGGTGCATCCCCGCTGACAAAACCCAGGTATAAACTCGGCGATCCGCTGGATGCATCAACTAACGTTGGGCCGGTCATTTCACGAGCTGCCCAGAAGTTGATTGAACAACAAGTCGAAGATGCACTCAACAAGGGCGCCCGTGATGCCACGCCGTTCAATGCCACATTTCAGAACCCTTCCGCTGACGGCAACTATGTAACCCCGCGGATTCTCACAGGCGTCACACATGACATGATAATCGCGAAGGAGGAGACTTTTGGCCCAATCAACCCTGTGATATGTGTCCAGAACGACGATGAGGCAATTCAACTCATGAACGACACGGACTATGGCCTGACTGCCAGCGTTTGGACCACAGATATCCCTCGTGGAGAGGAGATGATTGAGAGTCTCGAGGCTGGCACCGTGTTTGTCAATCGTTGTGATTACCCCAATCCAGTAGGCTCCAAATGCGTGAGATCGTAAACAAGCTGCTAACGTGTGTTGTAGGATCTTGCTTGGACTGGCTGGAAGAAGTCGGGGCTGGGATGCACTTTGGGGCCAAAGGGATTTGATTTCTTCGTCAAGTTGAAAAGTTATCATGTCAAGCAGCAACAGGCTTAGGAGCTAGATGTGATATGGAGTTCTTGCATAGGTGGTATTCAGCTTTAGATCTCTGTACCACTCAAATGACGAAATTTTGTCCCGGCACAAAGCCAAATCCTCAAGCTTTAATCAGCATCGTTGACGTTAACCCAGAGATGTGCACGAACGTGGGCCCTTGATCATAAGAGATTCTCCCAATGAAAGATTATACGGCGATTCGCGGATAGCATGATGTTTGCATCAAGGCCAACGTGAATCAGCTACGCAAGGCACAATCAGCTTGTCCAACATTATGACCCTGATATCACTAAACAAATGAGGTCTTGAGTGTTCGGCATTAATGTGCTGCGCGGTCTCTTGTGAAGGAACGGAAGTTCGGGACGACCGCGGTCCGGAACCCCCACGTTGGCATCGGAGCCGTCTGATAAGCATACATGTTCCAACACCCCAGTAGTCGGAGCTTTGATCGGGAAGCCGCCGATGGCGGTCGAAGAACCCCGCGCAAGGGGCATGGGCTCGGGATTCCGCATATCCACCAGAACGCAGCTTCGTCGCGGCCGGCGACATTCAGATGCGATCAATCTGAAGGACACAAGCTATATAAAGGCCTGGTGAGGATGCGTTTCATCAGTGAGAGCTCATTAGACATCAACCCGTCGGAAGTAGCCTGAACCTACGTTCCCTTTTCAGCCTTCAGCTGTTTTGACTCCAACCTGCCCAGTCGTATAAGAACCACAGCATCATGTCAGGCAGACTCGAAGGGAAGAATATTATAGTCACGGGTGCCGCTGGGTATGTCACTTTTCTCCCATCATTTGCCTTCTCCTGGTAAACCCTACTGACATGTACATGGCAGTGGTATTGGCCTCGAAGCCTCGATTCTCATGTATAAGGAGGGTGCTTCGGTTCTGATGACCGACATCAACCATTCAATCTTGGATAAAGCCCTGGCCCGTGTGAAGGAGCTTGTACCCAAAGCCAGAGGACTTCTTGAATCACTTGTTGTTGACGTGTCGAGGGAGTCCGAGGTAGAGAAAGCCGTCGCTCAGTTGGACAGCTGGGGCGGCCTGGACGTCATCTTCAACAACGCAGGCATCATGCATCCGAAAGATGGTGACGCCGAAGAGTGCCCTGCCAAAATCTGGGACAAGACGTTTGACGTCAATGTTAAGGGCGTCTGGTATGGAAGCAAATACGCCGTCAGATCTCTGCGCAAGCATGGCAAGAAGAAGGGCAGCATCATCAACACTGCCAGCATGGTTTCAATTGTCGGATCCGCAACTCCTCAGGTGGCATATACTGCCAGTAAGGGTGCTGTTATGGCTTTCACAAGAGAGATGGCGATTGTGCACGCTAGAGAGGGTGAGTACCGCGGACTCTGCACCATGTGATGCTTTCGCCAGCTAATGGTATGCCCATCCACAGGCTTCCGCTTTAATACCATTTGCCCAGCACCTCTGAAGTAAGCATTATTACACGAATACCTCAGCTGTTTGATTGCTATTCTAACACGACACAGTACTCCGATGCTTCAAGACTTTCTGGGTGAAGACAAAGAGAAGCGATTCAGACGAGAGGTTCACTTCCCAACGGGCCGATTTGGAGAGGCTATCGAGCAAGCACAAGCTGCTGTTTTCCTCGCCAGCGACGAGAGTAGCTTTGTCAACGCTCATGACCTGGTTGTGGATGGTGGACTCACGAAGGCCTACGTGACACCCGATGGACCTCCCACCGACCCCCCTCGGAACTTGGGAAAGCAATAAGAGAGTTCGCCGTGGTCAGGTCCGTCATTTGTGCGATGGACACGTTGATGATAACACCAGCGAGAAAATCCAGAAAGCTTCAGCTCCGATACTAGCTCCTGGGGCTGAAGAGTCTGGATGTTACGGACGTACGTGATGTAGTATCGAACAATAGGCTAATTCCAGGTGCGCCTGTTGTTCAACATAAGCGTTGAGATTAGGTTGAAGCTTTCCACGTGGATGAAATGAGGCTATAAGCGTTGATCGGTCGAGCCGACTTTATGCTGTCTTAAACTCAGCCCCGATCAACGCTAATTGACGTGGCACGCGCCGTTCGAAATTCCCGCCGTTGGGTCTTTCCGACGAGCCTGGCCTGGCCCTCAATTAGCCTAGCCGTGTGACATAGCGTGCCGGAAATCACTCGAGGGCCAGAATCTCGATCTGCTTGTTGTCCTGGGGTGAACCCCTCTGCGGCATTATGGTGTCTCGAGAACACCGTGCTAAATTTCCCGTACACCGAGACTCGAGACTCGAAACCCGACGGGTAGTTGCATATATCACAGGCACTACTGACGCGTCAAGTGCGTACCCACGCCGAGGATGGTCGGGTTGAACTAGACAGTGATCCAATTACCAATGCTGTGACCAAGGGCCAAATGTTGCCCGTGGATAGCACCCCTCCAAGGCCAATAGCAGCAATTCGTAGAGTGTGACACTCCAGTGCATCTTCTTGGCTGAATTCCCCTCTCTGATTCGGTTGATTTGCGAGTCAATATGGCTCGAAATGGGCTAGAAGAGTAAGGGCTAGAAGAGTAAGCTGTGCCCCAGTGCTACGTCAAACCAATGATTCGAGGCTGGATGTTTACGTTCCTCGCTGTGGCTCGAAAATATCAAGTGATGAGACATCCAATCAACGGCCCTGGTCAAGCGACTTTGCACCAATCCCCATGCAGCTGGAGGCGGGCATCCACTGGCATGCGTCTTACACACCACCTCAGGACGATTACATACTCCCTGGCTCACGCACACTGGATGAAAAATAGGGACTTGTGAACGTGATGTCCGGGCGGAGTAAAAAACCTGAAGGCGGCAGTGTGGCATCTGTGATGAAGCGTCAGTCCTCATGTCTTTTGAGCGATCAGAGGACGGAATCTTGCCGTCCGGTCTGCGCGCAGGTGATAGTGTCTTGGAAAGGCCCACTTCAACACAGCCGGGCATATCCATGATGCATGCATGGGGAGGTCCAGGCTGGCCAGGCTGCAGCTTTTGCGTTTCTGTACGCTCATAGGGCGAACTGGTACGAGTCCTAAAAAGGAAGCCCAATTCACCAGCGGAGTTGGACCCTCTCCGTTGGAGCATGGAAAGTTTCTGCGTCGCATGTTCTGGAAGCGGATGAAATGGCCATGTCTTACTATTGAATGTCAGCTGTCCTACGTCCTTGTGAAACGAAATGTCGCCCGAAAGGTTCGCCGGACTGGGTGCGATGTTGGCATTCAAGATAGAATGATGACTGGGCGAAGATAGTCTCTCGGTTCGTGATCCGGGGAATTCCCCCTTGCGCCTAGCTCGAGGGACGAAGTGTGGTGTGTATGCCTTGCTTCCATCCCACCCCCTTGATGCAGGTCTTGATCTGCAGAGCCCATCTGCCATCACCCGCACGGCGCAGTCGGCTACACCCACAATCCTTCGATTCAGCCCGTCATCTTATAGCTCGAGACATGATGCTGATACTCCACTGTCGTGACATCGGTCCCTCTATCCTGGGACCTGGGTTACAGCAGCTCTATGGAAAACTCGACGTGCTAATCTGGGATGCACACGACCATCTACCCCAGCCGCGGCCAAAGTTTACTTCAGTGCATGATCACAACGATCCATTTTACTGAGATGCATGCACCGCGCCTAACACTGTTTAGTACGTACGAGAGGGGGCTACACAACCTGACAGGGAAGTGAGGATGCATCTTGAATTACTGTATGGAAACTTCAACACCGGTCTATCTCATCCAGCCAACCATAGCATGATACGTTTTGAAAAAGGCGTGACCGAGTCACTTGTTACAGACACAATCGGCCCCCGATGGCCCGGTTCGTCCTACGATGCAACCCCTCAGGCAGTGAATTTGGTTCTTTTGAGCAGTGAAGGGGGTGAAGACATTTTACGAGCTACCTAGGTATCTGCCGCCGAAGGCGTTCGGACGATTAGCGGAAGGATTCCCCTCTGGCATGCAGCTAAAGTCATGTTGCCACCTCAAATCGTCCTTCATATAATCTAGGGGATCTTGGGCACCCAATTGCACGGGTTCTCCCTTGACTCCCTACTCTACTCAGTACCCGTTCTTGCCTCTTCGGTGCGATTTCTCACCTCGCATTCTCACCACACACAGACACTACTTAACGCATCTCATCCAGTATGGAAAGCATCACAGACGCTTACCCTGAGTACAGCCAGACTTCACGGCTAGATGAAGTGCGGGCGACAGAATATGGCTACCTCGACGAGCAGGGCCACCTCTATCTTGACTTCACCGGCGCTGGGCTGGCTGCGAAGTCCCAAGTTCGAGCACACGAGAAACGCTTAGGGCAAACACTGTTCGGCAATCCCCACTCAACGAACCCTACAAGCCAGTCTGCCACGCGACTGATCGAAGATGCCAGAGCTCGGGTGCTGGACTACCTCAACGCCTCGCCCAAAGAATACACCGCCATCTTCACTCCGAATGCAACCGGCGCCGCACGTCTCGTTGCAGAATCATACCCATTCAAGAGAGGGACAAGGCTGGTGTTGACGTCGGATAACCACAACTCCGTCAACGGCCTCCGAGAATACGCCGGCCGAAACCACGCGCGAACGGTCTACGTGCCGGTCCGAGCCCCGGAGCTGCGGGTCGACCCGTCGGTCCTAATGTCAGCACTCAGCCGTCGCAAGGGAGGCTTTTTCTCGTGTGGATCGGCACGCACGCGGCGCAGTGGCTTGTTTGCCTATCCAGCCCAGAGCAACTTCAGTGGCGTTCGACACCCGCTCTCCTGGGTTCAGGTCGCACAGGAAGAGGGATATGACGTACTACTGGATGCCGCGGCGTATTTGCCGACGTCCCGACTCAATCTATCAGATACTGGCGTCAAGCCAGAGTTCGTGATTGTCAGCTGGTACAAGCTGTTTGGGTACCCCACCGGCGTTGGCTGTCTCATCGTCCGACGCGATGCATTGGCTCGGCTGGCCAACTCGCGGCCTTGGTTTTCCGGCGGCACGATTACTGCTGCGACTGTTGGTGTTCCTTGGCACACCATCGCCCCTGACGAAGCGGGCTTTGAGGATGGCACCCTAAACTTCTTATCGATACCTGACGTTCAGGTTGGCTTGGATTGGTTGGATGATGTTGGGATGTTCCTCATCGACACAAGGGTCAGGTGCCTGACTGGATGGTGCCTTGATCGGCTGCACAGGATGGAGCACAGCGACGGCTCGCCAATGGCTAGGATATATGGGCCAACAAACATGGAATCCAGAGGAGGCACCGTCTGCTTTAATTTCCTCGACATCTCTGGAAAAGTGGTTGATGAGAGACTCGTGGCAAAGGAGTCTGCAGCAAAGAACATTTCACTCAGAACGGGATGCTTCTGCAATCCAGGGGCGGGTGAGACGGCGTTTGGTCTGGAAAAGGCAGCTTTGGTGTCCCTCAGCAAAGTTTACAGCAAGTCGTTGGACACATACATCCGGATGATCGCCCCTGTTGGTGCTGTCAGGATCTCGTTTGGCTTCATGTCAACCGCTGCGGACGTGGACCGTTTCATCAACTTTGCCCAAAGTACTTACCGGGATAGGCTTACCAGCACGGAAGGTCTTCCACCACATGAACATTGTTGACGGGGTAGATGGTATATACACAAAAAGACAGGATTCACCCGCTTAACCGCAAAGAGGCTTGGTCTCGCCCCAACCAACAGAACCAACGAACCAACGCACCAACAGGTGCGATGTGCTCCCCGCAGGCTGCGATCTCATGTTTGCCTGTCCCGTCCCGGCCCTTCCCGGCCCTTCCCAACATGCATAACCGCAAGGTGAATTATCTAATCCTGGCCAAAGAACAAGGGGCCATTGTCAACACGCGCCGAGACGAAAACAAATTTTGCCCTTTCCAACGGCGCAGCAACCCGTCTCGTCGAGAGCTCCGAGATATATGCAAGCCACTAATGCCGCCAGCCGCATTCTCTGCACCTTTTATCACTTATGGCCAATAATTGAGGGGATTTGAATCGTGGTCTTGCATGGCAAAGGTGGTGTTCGTCACCCAGAAACGGTGAGATTGGCCACTTCCTCGGTGTGACATCGATTCCAACCAATCCCATCTCACCGAGCGATAGTCTGATTGGAGAAAGGGTTTTCCTAATTCGGAATACCTTACGCCCGCCCCGGACGTCGTCGGGATCGGTCATACTGGAGCCTCATCACTCGACCTGAAGGCGTCTGCGGGAGGCGCAACGGCTTACATTGGGTGGTAGCATTGCTCATGCGGATAAACCACTCTTTTCCATGGTTTTGGGACGCGGTTTGGGATTTCCATTTAAACTGCCCATATCCCCCTGGTCATTTGACATGTCGACTCTGCAGCTTACCTTTCATTCAACCAAGCTTTCGTCCATCTCGACAAATTCCCGCTGCAATGAGCTCCTCAAAGCATTCGTGGCAGTATGCTGTCATAACCTTGACCGGCGCTGCTGCAGTGCTACCATCTCTGCACATGACCCCCTGGCAGTTGGTTGCACAAGGCCTCCTCGCCTGCCTAGCAGTGTCGTATTGCGCGATGGCATCATACAACCTGTTCATCTACCCTTACTACGTATCATCACTAAGGCATCTTCCCGGTCCGACGGTATTGATATTCAATCTTTTCCATACTCTTCTGATCTGATTGTTCTGCAGGATCACCACTTCCTATTGGGCCACACCGTCAAGCAGTTCCTGTCGGGTGATCCAAGGGAACCCTATGTTACATGGTTGAAGAGGTGGCCTAAGGAGCCCTTAATCCGCTTCATGGGCTTTGGCAACTCCGAGTCGCTACTTGTCACGTCACTCGATGCGTTTAAAGAGATCTACCTTCCGAAATCATACACCTACATCAAGCCAGAGTTTAGCAAAAGGCTCATGGCCCCTGTCCTGGGCTATGGACTGATCTTCCAAGAAGGAGACGAAGCAAGAACCCAGAGGAAATTGATCAGCAGTATGCTTTATCATGGTGTTGATTTCTCCACAAATCACGCTAATGGGATTACCAGCGCTATTCGGTCTGACCAGCATCAAGCGCACCATTCCAACCTTTCAAAAGAAGGCCAAGCGCATATGTCAGTTGTTTGATCAGAAGATTGAAAATGAAAACGGGCTTGTTAATGGTGAGCAACTTCTCAATCTGTGAACCCGGTGGCATTTTCGCATCAATGTCAAACCTCAAGGCTCGAAAAAAGCCTCCTTTGCTGACTGACTCTTGTTGTCCAATAGTCTCCTCTGCATGGTCCAGTGTAGCACTAGACGTTATCAGCGAATTTACTTTGGGGATAGATTTTCAGACCACTTTGACGCCATCGGTTTTCCACGAGTCTTACAACCAGTGCTTTGATTCTTCCACGTTCGGTTGCATCCTGATCGCCATTTACGCAATATTTCCTGCCATCCGCACGTTTCCGCTGGAAGAAAATCGCAAATACAAAGCCGCGAACGCCTTGGTCCGCTCTGAGATTCGGAAGCTAATACAAATGAGAGAGGCCGAGCTTGCCGAAAAACCACTCGACTCAGAGGACACACCCAATGTCCTTACACATATGCTCTTGGAGTCGAAGGCTATGGGCCATCCCTTGTCAGAAGATCAGATCCTGCAGAACATTCTCAATTTCTTCGCCGCCGGCCATGAAACGTCTGCTACAACAATGGTCTGGTGCACTCACATGTTGACGCGTCATCCAGATATCCAGGAGAAGGTCCGACAGGAAGTTACTGAGCTCATCACTCGAAAGCCGAACCCAGATTACTACGACTTAGAGAGCCTTCACTACACCGACAATGTTCTAAAGGAGACTCTTCGACTCTGCTCCCCTGGGATTGTCGCAGCTAGAGAGCCAGTTCATGACGTGGAAATCTGCGGGACTATCGTGCCAAAGGGCACCCCACTCGTGTTGATGCCAACAATCGTTAATCGCAACCCCATGATTTGGGGCGAGGACGCCGACGAGTTCAGGCCTGAGAGATGGGACAACCTCACGGGGGAGGCTTCGGATTCTCATGCCATGACTAGCTTTCTGATGGGTCCACGATCCTGCATTGGGAGAGCGTTCGCAATGTTGGAGATGAAAATGATTCTGGTCGAGGTGATGTCCAAGTTCGAACTCGAACCGGCTGTTGAAGAGAAGGATATTATTCTGGTGAACCCCAGCCCCGCTTTACGTGTCAAGGGAGGTCTAAAGGTGAATGTTTCTCGGTTGTGAAGGAAAATAGGCTCGATATAATATTTCTAGAAGATCTCGATGATGCGATGATTTGTTGGCGCGATGGATAGAGGGTCTGTGGGTTTCTTTGGGGATGTGTGAACCATCCATGAACATCTCCTACTTCTTACATATAGCAACGATAGCTTTCATAGTGACACCAACACAACTCTGGCCGTTTCTGTTCAGTGAAACAGTAACGTCTTTCAGTATTGACGGTACCATATCCATTGCTTTTCTCTTATCTTCATCGCTCCAGTCCTTGAACACAGCGGGGCCAAACATCTGAACGATTGACGACGAGACCTCCTCTAAACTCTCCGCGCCCCAGTGAACAACCATTTCCTGAAGGTCAACCTCTTCAAACCCACCAGATCTCAGAACCTCTTCCGTATGAGAGGGTTTGAACCATTCGGGCTTGATAGGCACGCTGAATGGCTCCTCTTTTGGACGTATCTCACGTTGGAGCTTCCACAGGACGGGAAGGTATCCGAGCTCCTCCCAATTGGTGACAACAGCAATACCGCCAGGTTTCAGCGTGCGCCAAATCTCAGATGCGCCCTTCTTCGCGTCATCGAAGAACAAGAATCCGAGGTTGGTGACTGAGTGGGTGAAGGTCTCATCGGGGAACTTCAAACTTTCGCCAGGCATGACACCTGTTCGTACATGGTCGTTGTCCGGAAACCTGGCTTCCACGAGCTCAACCATCTTGGATGCTCCGTCGACCGCGTGGATTACAGGCCCTTTCCCATTGTTGAACTTCTGCATGATAACATCGGTAACAATACCAGTGCCGCATGCGTTGTCAAGAACCACGGAGTCGTTGTTGATATTGAGTAACGGGACGAGCCTCTCAGCGAGCTCTCTCGTGCAGCCACCAGTGCTCTTCTCATAGGACTCGGCTACCGCATTGAAGTGGTCCAAGGGCGTTCTGGTGTCGTCCGCCATCGTCGGGATAATGAAAACGGCTGGACAAGTCGAGGAAGGCGTAGAAATCGTGGATGAAAATGAACCTGGGCCAAGAACCTCAAGATCATGGATGATGAAGCTAAGGGTTGCCTGTAGCTGAATAAGAACGTCGTCGTCATTATAAGTTGTCGCACGGAACATTTTCGGAGACTTCATGCACGCCGAAGAGGGGCCCGGGGGTGAACCTTGATGGCACACCACCCACGCAGACGCATGTCAGATTAGACGACGTGGCATACCTTGACAACAAAGAGATAGATTCGTCATATTGTTTGATTTTTGTTCTGTGGAAAGATGCCTTTGTGATGGCGGTGGTTTCCTGCCGCTCTTTAGCTCTCGCGGTTCGGCGGGACTCCGCCGACGCCACGAATGCGGGTTCCGCCGCCGGCTTACAACCGTGCCCCAAGGCACCGGTGCCCACGCGGACTCTCCGTCGGGGGTCGGACATCCATTCTTGCGAGCGGATGCACGCGTGCTATCATGAGACGGTCGGGGTGAAAGTATGTTGATCTGAGAGCTCCGCGTGTTGTAGGTCTGTGGCGGTTGTTTACTTATGTTCAGCGCTTGGGCTTGGTTGCCTCGTTGATGGTACAGGATAGAAATCAACGAGAGAACGTATCCAAATATTTCCCTTCAAGTGATTTACTGTTATCTATTCGCGAACCGTGATCTAGACGATAGTGCCGCGAATTATTGTTTTAATCAAAGGATGATTGATCAAGAAGCCTTTAATCACGAGGCGGAAACCCGCCCAGCTTGGAGCAAATGGCAAGAGAGTATTAAAAGAATACAAACGGACATAAGCAACACTGTTAAAAGGTGAAGCTTTCGATTCATCTTGATTCAATATCACCTCGAGGCTTTCTTCCACCAACAACCTCGTCTATCACAGAGCCATCTCAAATCCCTTACCGTTGACAACATTCTCATCATATCCATCTTAATAATCCGCTCAGGGACAAGAAGAAAACAGCCGTTCAAGTTCCAAAATGCCTAGCGTTATTGAATTTCTACAGTCTCAGCTCTTCACCGAGGTCCCGGTACCTACGAAGAAATTTAACGGCCAAACTATCATCGTCACCGGGTCCAACACCGGCCTCGGCCTTCAAGCAGCACGTCACTTCATCCTCCTCCAAGCAGCCAAAGTCATTCTCGCAGTGCGAAGCATACCAAAGGGCAAGGAAGCTTTAACCCGCCTAGAGGAATCAACGGAGACAAAAGGAGTCGTTGAAGTCTGGGAGCTAGACCTGAGTTCTTACGCGAGTGTCCAGAATTTCGCCGAGCATGCCCGCAGTCTTGAGCGCCTGGATGTCTTGGTCAACAACGCCGGCATCATGACGTATGACTTCGTACTAGCAGAAAAGGATGACAGCCTCATCACAGTCAATGCTGTGAGCCCGCTTCTCCTCAGCATACTGCTATTGCCTAAGATGAGGGAAACGTCCTTGAGATATGACAAGGAAACTGTCATCACCTTCGTTGGATCACTCGGCCATGCCAGGGTTGACTTCATCGAGAGCAAGAGTGAACACATCTTCAAAGACTTGGCTGTGGAGAAAGTCGCTCGTATGACTGAGAGGTAAACTCTTCCTGCCACGCAGATCGGCGAATTCAGTAAACTGAAGGACTTTAGGTACAACATCTCCAAGGTCATCCAGCTTCAGCTCGCTAGAGAGCTCGCGGAAAACGTCACCAAGTCAGAGAAGTTGGGCAACATCGTCGTTTCAATGGTAAACCCGGGATTGTCTGACACGGAAGTCACTCGGAATCTCGGCTGGCTTCAGGGGAAAATTGTCAAAGTTGTGCTTAGCTTGGTGGGAAGAGCACCAGAGGAAGCTAGCCGTACACTTGTTCTAGCTGCTGAAGGCGGACCAGAAACGCATGGACAGTACCTTGATGACGGCAAAGTAGGCAGGTACGTGATAATCGCCCCGTCTAGAAAAAGAAAATCACCTCTCGGTTCTCAACTGACTGCCAGTACACAGAGCGTCGAAGTTCATTACGAGTGATGAAGGAATCAAGGTTCAAAATCAGCTGTGGAAAGAATTACTTGAGAAGTTGGACGCTATTGCCCCCGGTATCGTATATTCAATATGAATCAGTATAGAGCGCCATTGAACGGTGGCATTGGTTGCCGTACGCAATATTGTATGATATCTGGCTTAGAATAGACGCTAACAAGCAACTGTGCCTTATGTTTATCCCAAATGCGCGACAGCGTGTGTACCAACCGGTGCATGAGAGCCTCCCACCCAAGCGTTCCAGTTGTTGATACCTTCTGTGCACTCTTCGGTTATTGGCCGGCCATGAACCTGGGCGACAACGTCTGCTCCTCTGTGAATAGTCACGACGACTTCACCCAGTCTACCGTTGAAGGGTGCGCTGCCGTGGTAGACACCAACGCCGCCGTTCGGTACTCCATCATCATCCCATGAAGCCTCTTGAGGCACACCACCGATGCTCACCGTCACCGAAGCGGGCCCGGTGAGCAGTGCCGAGAACACGACCTTGTCCTCCATGATCTCCGACGGATGATGCAACTCCTGGCCGTGACTCGGTGCGTTGCCTGTGGTACCTCCACAGTCGCCTGCGTGGCCGGGGTGTATGCGGTACCACGTCACTACCCCCTCCCGGTTGATGATGGCATGGCCGTTCTTGTACAGGTCGATGAGGAAAGGGAGCAGAAGCCGCCAGCCGTCGTGAGGCATATCTCTGACGTAGTTGAACGGCGCCTTGCCGTACTCGAAAGCGCCAAATTGCTTCTCGTGGAGGGGTCCGATGTAATGGGACTCGCCGAAGTCGTTCCACGAGATCTGCCATCATCATTAGAATAGGTACTTCCTTTCCCTGTTCCAAGGATACTCACAATCTGCACATATTCAGGTCTTATTTGAAGAATCTCGTTCCAGCGATCGTTCCACAGATCATCGCCCTTCCAAGCCCAGTTCTTGTTCCAAGTTGGGAGGTTGGTGTAGAACCACGGTGAAACGGCAACCATGTACGGTCTGTTCCCCAAGAAGTGACGGTATGAAGCATCCAAGCCGGGATCCATCTTACGAGTGTTGCCGTGCGGCCATGCTGCCCAACTGAAGAGACCATCGGTGACACCGGTGTTCACGGCGTTCTCAGCGCCGATTGACGAGAATGAGGGCATGAAGAAACATCCGGTCGCGGCCTTGATGTCATGCCAGTCGGCAGCGTTACCGGTTCCCTCAAAGGTGGAAACAACTGGTTGCCATCCGCGCTTGAAGTACGCAGGAGAGGGTCCAAACTTTGGTGGACGTCAGCACGTGGCATGGAGGCGCTTTATCGAAGTGCACTCACCCGATTCAGCAACTCAATGACTCTCTCTTTGGGCCAAGCTCCAGCTCCCTCATAGTCGAACGACAGGAGCAGCTTGAATCCAGTCTGCTCAGCCGCGAAGAAGAACTCAGGGAGCTTCACGATCGCCTCTTCGTGGATTCCAAAGTTCACCACGAAGCCATCAATATGCGCCTCTTGAGCCAGGCCGATGTCGACCTTGTATTCATCCACGGTGTAATCGCAGGTGTTACTCAACTGTTGCTGTGTCAGCAAAGGCCCCTCAAAGTTTCAATCGCAGAAAGTCTGCTCACCATGAAATGCGCAAACACGGCCCGCTCGAACCCCTGAGGCGGCCCCTGCTGGTGCGGCGGCCGGCTGTCCGTCGGCACCGGAGGCGGTGGCGCCGGTCGGGGCTCGTCGTCGTCGCCGGTGATGGCCGCGATCTCCGCCTCGATCTTCCTCTTCGCCTTGTCGAAAAATGCCTTCATCGTCGCGTGTGTTCGGAGGAGGAGAAGTTGCCCGCGCCGAGCCGTGACGCGCGCTGCGTTTGACCGCTCCAATTAAATTGACACGTGGAATGGCGAAGCCTCAATCTTGGCCACCGAAGAGGGTCGTTTGTAGCCCCATCTCTACGTAACCGAGCCTTAGCACGCATCCCGTCTTATCCGGTCTCTTGGAGGCCTCGATGTCCTTCACCATCTCGGAAAATTCGCTAGGTAACAACAATAGAAAACCTCTTGGTGTTTTCCGCGGGTCTATCTAGTTCAATGTCTCTAAGCTTAGAGACATGGAAGTGTGTGTTCAGGGCGTGAGTCATTAGGGAGGGTGCGCTGAGCCTGTCGTTCGCTGGCTGGCCACATGGATTTACGTCATTTTTTAGGCTCTGCAACACGGACGAAGAGAGGGTGCCGAACACTAAAAGGGTGCTGATTCAATTGCTTTAGGCTTGCGTGTGCCCATCGGATAGGTCCCCGATTTAGTTTGAGGAAGATAAGAACATGTGGACGCGGGATTAACATCTAAAAAACTAGAAATCCGAGAGCGAAACCAAGTGAATAAGGTAAAATAGGCTAAAGGGCATTAGGGTCTAGGTGAAAGCAACCTTTGTGGGATGGGAGATAGACGTTCTCTGGACGGGAGGGCACCATCCTCAGAGATAGAGAGAGATCTAGATAGGTAGCAACCTCGACAGAGAAATAAAGGAGGACAGCAAAAAGATGTCCTCGGAGAGGCTCGAACTCTCGACCTTTGGATGTCCCTGCCTTCAGACAGTGTCATATTGAAGTAATATGAGACCAACGCTCTACCGACTGAGCCACGAAGACTTCAGCCACTGTGGGGCTTGGCTGATTGCGAGGTGGAGTTGACTAAGCGGCCAGCGGACCGGAAACCTCTGTGCTCATTCCCGGCATCCCACGGGAATTGGACCTGGCGTTTCCCGTGGTGTTTCGCGTTGTACACCATCACGAGCTCTAGGAGCCTCGGGACATTAAATGGTGTTGTTCTGCAATTTGCACTCGCACTCACTCACACGCTGTTGGCATTGTCATGGCTCAAAGGTGAGTGCATCTATTATTATGTTCATTATCTGTGTATGTTCGTAATCATATCGTCATAGGGGGGTATTTCAAGCTTGCGGGAATCTCGTAACATCGGCCGGTGCCGACGACATCACAACCACCGTCGTCGTGACAGTTCCGTCCGGTCCTTGGTCCTTCACTATCCGGAACTTCTCATCGTCCGTCACTGCCGACGGGTTCGTGTCTGGCGTCCATGTGTGTACACTTCTTGTAACATTGATCTCAAATTCTCGCTCGACCATGATCATCTCTGGGATCTGAATCTCCGTGTCCCAGTCTCTTGCCGCTTCTGGGTCGTGGCTGATACTCCATAACTTCTTGCGTGGAGTGAAGGATGTTGGCGATGTCGGGGCGTGAGAGGAAAGCGTACTTGCGTCGCTCGGATGCGGCAAGAGATGGTCGATCAGAGGCTGCATCGCTGGGATGCACACAGCAATGATGACCACGTCGGCCTCGAGACTTGTCCAGATGACCAGGTCGGCGGAGTCATCTATAGAGATCGTCAACAACATCATTCTTGGATAATCGACAACAGTAAACTCACAGGTAAAGTCCGGGCTACCTAATGACTTTAATCTCGTGCATTTAAATATTGCAGTTATCAAAGCACTGAGAAAACCATCGTTAGCAAATTGGATATTTCTTGCAGACTCATTCAAAAACCACTTACACAGCGCCCAGCACTATCGATATCAATACTCCTAACAGTTTCCTTCTCGCGAAATGAAGCTTGCGTATCGAGAAGGCCACATAAACTGCGAGATATGCATTTGTTGCCGCAGATATCGCTGAGAGGCCGCCGTGTTAGCAATGTCTCCATATGAAATAAGCTTCTAACTTACCACTAGTTGATATTGAATATTCCACGGCCATATCTGGTCCTAGACAAGCTTTCGTCATGAATGACATCTCAGCTTGTGACGGTGAACATTGTGTGTATAATCCCAGGACGTTTCCAAGCAGGCCTAGTGAGCAAAATGCAACAAGAGCCCACAGAAATAAGCGCTGTCCCCTCTTAGGTTGAAGGAGTCGGTTCATGAGAGCGACTACGGCGATTTTAGGCAGTATCAGAGCAAAAATGCCGAAGGAGAAGGCCATGACGGTCCAGTGCAAAATCTCCTCCTTCTGGTGGTCGCTCAGCGATGCGACGTGCCTCCCGTGGCCAATCGCAACGGCCTTTAATGTCGTCGCTGTCGATGTCCATCCCGATATCTGTGATGCTCAGCCAAAAATGTCCGATAACACGAAGACGAGCATTCATACCACCGCAGCCAGAAGAATTCCGTCGTCATAGTGCACTTTCTTTTGAATCCATCCCCTCACGAACAGCCGCGACAGAGCAAACATCGTCGAGATCGCCGTCGCGGGCACGACGGACGCGACGATGACGCCGCCTATGCTGTGCGTGTCGACATCCTCGGCCGAGTCGGCGTAATCACGCGGCGGTAGCGGGAGCGGAGGTATCGAGGCACTGGTCAATGCTTTATAAAGCAGGTGCATCGTGCGTGCGGGCGCAGAAGAACGATCATTGAAGATGTTGTTGTAACATGGCCCGATACGGTCGATTGCGGGTTCGATTTGTGTTTGGCGGTTTTTCGTTACGTGCGAAGGGAGATGCAACGTCGGAGATGAGGAGACGGCGGTCGTAAGCAGAAGATGAGGGGGAAGGACAACCATTATCCTCTTGGATTACGCCACTCAGTGCGGAGGGCAAAATGACAAGATGAAACCTCAAAACTTTGTTCTAGAAGGGCTCGAGTGTCGAGGTCACCGAGGTTGTGGACGCTAGAGGCTTAGCGAGAGTCAGAGAGTGAGTCTATTCCTCTCCATCTGATTTCCTGTTTGGCTCAAAGGAAACCTTGTCTGCGGTGCAGCTGATTTGCGTGCCAAGGGTATGGTTCCCTCGTCACGCTCTCGACCACCGGAGCATCTGAGCCTGTGAAGGAAAGTAAAGGTCTGGGTCGTGGACGAAAACGGCATTTCCACGTACGATTTGCTCGTTCGGGTATTCCTGTCCCAGTTATCCGGGACTGATCTTCAGCACTAAAATCGGTTCCGGACGCCACAGGGGAGATGAAAGGAAGCGAACACTGCGCTGAGACTATTTCGTAATTGTAAGTCTGTCAACACGGAGCGTGTTTCCTTCCGACCTAGTGCTAGCAACATGTCCGGTCGAGCCGGTCGAACCGGTCCTGCGACATCGCGTTAAGCCGGTAGAAGCGAGAACGTCGGTCTCCGAAACGGTCTTCAATGATTACTATGCAGGGCTAGCGAGGTTCCCGTTGAAGAACCAGAAAGTCTCGCATCGTTCGACAGGCGACATTTGCAACTAGTAATTCCAACGAGATGCGGGCGCATGGGAGGCTTGACAGCCGTCCTTCCGGTTCTAAGGATGCCTAACTTGAAGCCACGAATCCTACTTCTCGACTTCAGAAGGACGTGCGACGGGCGTTGCTACGAGTGATGGCGTTTCCTGTAAGGATATTGATTACTATGCCTTGTCACATGACACCATTCTCAAACCAGCAGCATTAATTGATGACTTGAACACTTCCTAGTTACAATGAATAGAGTTGAAGCGCACAAATCAGAATAATGCTGCGAAGTGTACAAAAAGATGAATTCCTCATACGAGCTATAGAATTTGACTCAAGAAACTAGAATGCGCTCATCTCTACGCCTTGTAGTCCAGTCGTGTCGACCTTTGTACATTCTTGCAGACCATGTCACCGTCCCGCATTCTGCACCTCGTATTTGACTCTTCATTGCTGACTCTGTCAACAAAGGGCTTGTTTTCCTTAGGTGCATTTTCCGCAACCGGACAAGCTATTAATAAGGATAGCGCCCATCGATCCGCCCAACACCGTTGGCTGGCTTAGTAGTCTCTGTCCATCGGAGAGAGATCCGCCCGACTTAACTGGTCGTCGTCATCCAGGGCTTGTGGCTTTCCTGTTCGGATTGTCTTCCACACCCGTCGTTTTTTTTTTCTTTGCATCAAAATTCTTGGTTACAAACAGTCAATGTGTCCAATCTTCGGGGCAAAAGTCCGACATAGAACATCAACGGTTCTTGAACAGCTGATGTCGGCGTACCTCGGCCCACTCCTCCGATGCCGGCCGGGATAGCACCGGTAGATTAACGGGTCCTCCGAGTGCACTAACAATGGTTACTTGCCTGATAAAATGTGTCATCTGAGCCTGCAGGAAAGTCCCGATAGTGCTACGACCACTGTAGGGAGAATCTCTCCACCGTCTCCGCACTTGATAATGGTAGCGTGCCCGCGGGGAGGTGGGCGCATTGAGCACTGTTACCCCCCTTATCAGCCAGATTAAACGCTGCTGACACATTCCCCCGGACTCCACGATATCGGATCAGAGGTGACTCGCAGCCGTTGATTCTCGCTGAAAGGCACGCGATATCTGACTTTCTCCACATTGGAGATCTGATCGGGAGACCTTACCTTGCTGCTGGCTGGAACTTTCACACCTGCATTTCACAATGAGCAGTCAGAGGGCCAGCACACACACGGCGAAGCGCCCGCGGCTGGGCGAGCGAACGATGTTGGCTTGTATCGGCTGCAAGCAAAAGAAACTGAAGGTTCATTAACCTAAGCTGCACCCTGTTTCCTTAGTTTCTTCTAACATTCGTAGTGCGATGGACAAAGCCCCAAGTGCCAGAACTGCGTCAGAACAGGAAGAGGTAAGACCCTCAAAGAGACCTCAATGGCACATGAGCAGGTTCGGCTGACTGTCACATAGACTGCCTAGTCGAAGATCCAGGGACCGGCTTACACCGCCCGCGCGACTACATGAAGTCCCTTGAGGCCCGTGTAGCTTATCTGGAAGGTCTCTTGCAACAGGTCCGGCCCGAAGTGGCTCTCGACCACTTCGGTCCCAACGAGGGTCACGATGCCGATCACTCGGCCCCGCCCCCTACAGGCTCGACAAGTCAACCTATGCCCATCATGCACATGCCAACGGCTTTCCCAAGCCTGCCCGAGCAATCGTCCTTCGAGGACATGGACTTCTCTCGGGCACTGCGTGCACCATCAATAGATGCTGATGATCACCATGTCGACATGCTCTCCTCGGAAGTTGCTTTGCTATGTCTCAGCGCCGCTGGCAGAGAGCCTCACTACTTCGGGCCATCCTCGGCGGTCTCCTTTTCGCGGATTGTGAGCGCTACCATGGGTCTTGCAAGTAGAGGTGGTAGTTCACAGCATAGCCATGCGGGTCGTGCGAAAGGTGCGGGCTCCGAGGTTCCTCGCGAAGTTCCGTTGCGGCTGCCGTCGCCCACCTTGAGAGCCAATCTTTCTCAGGCTTACTTCAATAACATTCACCCTCAATACCCCTTTCTTCACAAGCCAACGTTCCAAATCTGGGAAGAGAGCTGTTTGAAAGCGAGTCTTGAAGGTGATATCAGTAGCGTCAGCGGAGTTTCTTTATTTTTCGTATTGATGGTGAGCTTTTCGGCAAAACGTCGATTCCTCTTGTGCTTACATCGACACTAGGTTTATGCGATTGGTTCTCTTGTACTCGGTCAGAGTCATTACGATGCTGCCGAAGCTTACTATTCGATGGCGCTAGACCATATTGCAGCTGTTTTAGATCTCGATAGCCTCGAGTCAATACAGGCTATCCTGTCTTGTGCGGTTTACTCCATCAGGTCGCCAGTTGGCGTCAGCTTATGGTTCGTGAATCGTCAGAGTCTCCTCCACTTTGCTTGAAGCTGACTGGCTGTCACTATAGGAAGGTTTCTGGTATGGCTATCCGCCATTGCATTGAGCTTGGGTATCACCGAAGTGCAGAGAAGTATCATAAAAACACGGACGCTCTTACGAAGGAAATGTCCAAGAGATGCTTCTGGGTGGCCTATGATATCGACAGAGTTGTGGCTTTCACCCTTGGTCGGCCAGTTGGTATTCCTGATGACTCTATTGATGTTGAGGTAAGCCATAGACAAAGCACTAGTTCCCTCGTACGTCACAAGAGGTGTCTGACAAAATCCTGCTCTAGCTTCCACTTGACATGGACGACGAAAACATTACATCGGGAGGTCTAATGGCCAACCCCCGTACAAACCCGACTGGTCCGCCAACACTCATGACGGGTTTCGTTCATGCTATTAAGCTTCGACGATTGTGGACAAAGATTAGTGATAATCTGTATCCTCCGTCGATACGGCGCTGCGGAAATCACTGCGGCCAGAGGGCAACTGTCGAAAGCCTTCGCCAAGAGTTAGATGAATGGCGCGTCAATACCCCCGACCAACTTGACTACTCCGTGTCTCATCCGCTATCTGTCTTCACGTCAAGATCGTGGTTTCAGCTGGCTTATGATCACTCCATCCTGCTTCTGTATCGACACTACATGATGGCACTTCCGGGTAGCCATACCCCTGCTAACTGCAACGACTCAACCAATCTTAATGATATCGAGGCAACTGAGAGGGCGTTGGAGGAGTGTGCGGTTCGTGCACGAGAGATGTGCCTTCTCTATCGTCGGGTATACCAAAGCTCTTCCGTTCAGTTCACCTGGGGAAGCCTTCATATTCTGTTTCTCGGTGGACTCACATATCTCTACTGCCTCTGGAGGTCGAAACGCGTCCGAGACTCTATTCGGCAGGCCGATGTTGTGACGACCTGCATGGCCTGTACGACTGTTCTGATTATCATCGCCGAACGGTGGAATCTGGCGACTTCGTACCGCGATATCTTTGAGACATTGTCACAACGAACAATCACCATGGTCTGCAACGACGGGCATAAACCAGGACCCACATCACTACCAGCGATCGGCCCGGGGCCAAGCATGGACAGTCATGTTCCAATGAGTGGCACCAGTCCCTCTGGCATGCAAGACTGGATCAATGACTTAGACCCCATGGCTATACCTCAAGAGTCGGAGTGGTTGGTACAACAGCTTAACTTACTACAAGGGGTAAGAGAATTTTAAAGAAGAGATTTGGATCAGTCATCTGGCGATCGCCGCACCATGTTACCATTTCCTCTAGACCTGTTCACCCTCAACATGTTCCTGCTCCACCTGTTCCTTCTCTTGAGACATGTGAAGAACTAGGTTGCTCAATCCAGCATCCCGTGCCTCCAAGTACCTTTTGCGAGCCGGTCTGGCAAGTAGAGGAGCATCAGCTCCCAATAACATGTCCATATCCTCCAACGGGACACCCTTGGTCTCCGGAACAAACAAAAACGCAAAGATGAACGCAACTACCGTGCACGCCCCAAAGAAAAGAAAAGTTCCCCAGGTTATCTTGTTTATCATATGTGGAAGGCTGTACACAACGATGAACTGCGCCAACCACTGTGCGCAAACCGCAATCATCATGCCAAGCGTGCGGACTCGGTTGGGCAGCACCTCGGAGGCGAAGATCCACGGAATTCCATTCCAGCTGAAGCCGTAGAAAATGGCGTAAATGTAAATCATAGCCAGGGCAGTGCGAGCCCCGGCATCTGCTGAAGCTGCAACTTCGAATGAGCCGGACAACGCGGAGTAGCCCGCCAAATAGAACATGGCCACCATTGCCCCAATAGCTCCAATTAGAAGGGCTGGTCGTCTGCCGAACTTGTCAACGAAGAACATCATGAAAACAAGCGTCGTCATCATCTTGACTATGCCGTAAACCCCGGTCGCCAGGAGGCCAACATCAGTTCCGCTGAAGCCAATTGAACGCAAGATGGTTGGACTGTAGTAGTTGATGGCATTAATGCCAGTAAGATTCTGAAGTACCATGAGCAGGGCCCCGATGGACACACGCCACCTGATACCAGGAACAAGAAGTTCTCGGAACACCTTCCACGTGGACTGTTCCCCGCCATTGGCCTCGGTCTCAAGAGTGACGCTGACTTCAATCTGCATGATCTCACGGCTGATGTACTCGTGGTCTTCAGGCAGATTTCGAACCCAAGACAGAGCCTTTCGTGCTTGAGTCTTTCTGTTCTTGGTAACGAGCCATCTTGGAGACTCTGAACAGAACATGGGCATGGTGATGAGGAGCAAGCCGGCAGGGACAAACTGTACGGCCACCGGCACGTGCCATTGCGTGTTTCCCTGTGAAGAGATATTCTGTGCCACGCCATAATTGACCCAAAAGCCAAACACAAGCGCTGTCTGCAGCATGATTTCGAAGATGCCGACAAGCCTGCCACGGATCAAGGCTGGTGAGCACTCCGCGATGTAGACCGGGATCAATGTCGAAGAAGCTCCAATAGCGAGTCCAGTCAAAGCTCGGCCGCCGTCTACCACGAGCATCGTTAGCGATGAATAATAATCGGAAACTGAGCAGGTTATCTTACACAGAAGACCAATCTTCCCGATCAATTGCAACACCACGCCGATAATGAAGACGAAAGCTGAGCCCAAGATAACGGGCTTCCGCCCAAACCTTTCGGCGGAAAAGAAGCCAGCGATACACCCGAAGAAGGCGCCTGCTTGGAATGTTGAAACGATGTTGGACGAGAGATTGGCGATTTGATCAGCCGAGCTGTCTCCTAAGCCGTATGTCCTTTGGAAAGACGGAAGATTGATCGTGCCACCGATGAAGGCCGAGTCATACCCATACATTGCCGAAGCCTGTATCGCCATTCATCAGTTACACTGGCTTCAACTCTGACGCCTGCATTCGAAGCGTTTCTCACCCACGATGCCGAAAAGGCCAGGAGATACGGGCGATATGCATAGACTTCTTTCGGGGTGTCTGGGCCCGGGTCATCTTGCAGCGAAAAGATATTCCTCATTTTGCGTATTCTAGCCCACAAGAGGATAGATTCTCTCCAGCACTGAACAAAGAAAGGCGCAGACATGGTGTAAGTACATCAGGAAACTTGAGATCCTTTTATCCATTTATACCTGGAAGGCTTCTTCTACGATTTCTCACGCCTGGCGCTTTGCAGTTCAGGAGTATCGAAACTGGTAGAGCGGCGGCAGTTGCAATACCTACCATGGATCTGTGGGGAAACTCTTATCCAATCTCCCTGTTCACCTGCGTGTTTCTGCATGGGGGTAGCAAGGGGATTGCGGGGTTAGAACGATACCCCGTGGGGAGACACAGGGGCTTCAACAACTCACGGCGACTTTGGCTTACGGTCAAAGGATTGCAATGTTTGTTATTGGCTCATATCGAGATGTTGGATTCCCCACATTCTATCCTCAGTAACCCCAAGTCTCCAACACACTTATGGTTCTGCTGCAGTCCGTACACTCAGCCTCTTTGTTGAGTACCGGGGAGTATCGGGGATCTATCCAGGTTTACGACCGACGCACTCCCACACAGCGCCGATGTCGCTCGCATCGCTTGTGATACGAAAACTCATGGATCGTCTGTTAAACCCCGTCAAACATGAGACCGTTGGTACTCGGGATCTAATTTCCGTTCCTTCAGAACTTATATCCGTGAGGGGTTGGATTCCTTTGACGATGCGGAGAAGCACCCCGCTTGAATCATTATCCTCCTTGCATTACTTCATGGCGAGAAAGAAAGAATTCTTGTCTTTGGGGAATCCTGTATCGGCCACAGTAGACTCCCGCCGTCCAAGCTCCTATCAAACTCCTTCCATATCACTACACTCCGTATCCGGCTTGCTCCAGACCACTGCCCAACATGGAGGAAAATGTACCCAAAGAAGCAGCAGCCACACATCTTCCGTCGCAACGCCTGCTGGGAAAGGTTGTATTGGTGACTGGTGCAGGTGGCTCTATCGGATTGGAAACCTCTGCACGATTATTGCAGGAGGGTGCAAATCTTGGTCTCGTGGACATTAGCTCAGATGCCCTCGAGCGCGCCGTCTCGCAGCTCAAGGTCAACATACCCGGAGAAACGATTGAGAATCGCATATTGACAGTTACGGCCGATGTCACTTCTGAGAAGGCTGTCGAGCAGTATACAGCAAAGATTGCCAGTCATTTTCAACGTTTGGATTGCGCATTCCTCAACGCCGGAGTGAGCTATACATCGACGAGCATCTTCGATACAACCGAAGAAACCTACGATCGAATCATGCAGGTCAATGTCAAATCTGGTATGCATCCTCTATCTCCACAACCTGGTGATATTCGCACCTTTCTGACAATAGCAGCATTCCTGGGCATCAAACACACTGCCAAAGCCATGAAGGATTTGGGCACTGGAGGAAGCATTATCTTGACGTCGTCAATAGCCGGTCTGAGAGGCACCCCAGGATTGATAGTCTACTCGAGCTCAAAGTTCGCGTTGCGGGGGCTTGCTCTCACGGCAGCATCAGAGCTCGGGCCGCTGGGCATCCGTGTAAACACCATTCATCCCAGCGGCATTAACACACCAATGTTCAAGGCATCTTGGAGCCCAGAAAAGATGGAGGAGTTGAGAAAGGGTATGCCGTTAGGAAGATTTGCCGAGACTGATGATATTTCGGGTGTCGTGGCGTTCTTAGCTAGCGATGACTCCAAGTTTATGACTGGGGGCTTCTTGAAGATTGACGGAGGTTGTGTCAGTTTTTAGGAGCTCTGATATTATGCTCAAGGCACTTGCCCTCTGACCAGCAGTTTGAATCTAGATTCGTTCCCTTCTTTGAGAGAGCATCAGTGGCAGAAGAGACTTTTATAATTGAATTTTATCGATCCATCTTGATACTAGGCAGCTGAATGCACCTTCTCATACAGTGCCTGAATTGAACCTCTTGCTCTCTCAGCCATGACCTCTGGACCATTTGCTTCCAACTCCGTCTCTTTCAGAAAGCCTTCCACAGAGAACCAACCGTCCCATCCGTAATCCACCGCCCATGTCCTCATAATCTCGACCACAGGAAAGTAGCCAGGCTCTTCCAGAGGGAAAGGCCTAGCGCTCCGTGACCACGCCAGGCGTGCATCTTTGACCTCCAGACCGTCAAACAGGGGAGAATTATCTGTTAAAGGAGGGTCGAACCGAGAGCCATCCGACAGTTGCAAATAGCATAAATGATCCTTGGGAGCTTGTTTGAGGAATTGTGCCATTGATTCAGCCATTTCTGTCTCGCCGTTTTGAAGTTGACCATTACGAGCGTAGGGGTCGCCCCACATACGACTATGGATGTGGAAAGAGTCGAGGCAGAGTTTGAAGTTGGGTCTGTCAACACATTTGACAACACGGAGGCCATCTTGCCATGTGGCGTGAAAGGCAGCGAAGGCGACTGGTTCGTATGCGATGTTGACCTGACTCTGGCCTGCAAGATCGGCCAAAGCTTGCAGCTCTGGTATGATCACACCATCATCGTTTGTCGAATGCTGGAGAAACTGCGATGGTACTTGGACGAACTTTGCACCGGCTGCCACAGCAAGGTTGATCCAGTCGCTGGCAACGCGCAGTTGTTCTTCCAACGGTGTACTGAGGTTTCCTTCGAAATTCTTCAGGGGATTCAGGCTGAGAATCTCAAGATTCCGCGACATGCAGAGATTCTTGATATGTCTAGCAGATTCCAGAGGAGAAAGACCGTTTGACGTGGCATGGTGGAGGAGGTCGGCATGCACGAGTTCTATGCCAGAGAACCCGCAGCCAGCAGCGGCTTCTATCTTTCGCTCAAGTGTGTGCGATGAATGCTTGCCAAGAGATACTGTGGCTATTGCCCATTTGTTGCGGAAAGGGAGTTTCGACATCATCTTCATTTGGATTTGATAACCTGAGGATTCATACTACCTTAGTTAGTGTGTTGCCTTCGAGCCAGCCCTCGTTGCATCCTTTTGATGTACCGGCAACGTGCCTTGCTCTAGCTCGAGATCGCCGCGCCGGGTAAAATCACACCCGCTCTGCCACGTCATTCATCATGAGAATTATCTCTGCGTTGGGGCTTCACATGTCCGATGTATCTAGAATCCTTCTGCATGCATTGATGAGGAGATGCCGGGAATGCGCACCTACAGGCAAGTGGGGCTCCTCCGAGTTCTGCCAACTGCATCATGACCATCCAGTCGCTGCTGTCATAGTGTGCCGGGGAGTGTCGGGTGTGGTTGTGATAGGCTGCTCCCACCTTCCGGTAGTTATTGCATGCTACTTTAACTGGCGGGTTTAAGCCCCAAGGAAAGCAAAAGAAATATCACAAATAAGTCATTTGGCTAACGCTGAATCTAAATGAAAGGATCTAAGAGTACACCAAGTCCTCGGCTTCACAAATGAAAGATGCACTCCGCCTATAGAAACCTAGAAACGTCCTGAAGACTAAGACCCAACTCCTCGGCGCACCTCTTCAAACTACTGCGCTGCGCCTGAGCATATAATTCGTTTGCATCCAACACATGACATTTCAAAGCTTTCTCGTAGCCGTGTACGTCTGGTTTTGCTGCGTCCTCCTTATCCATGGCCGAGTCGCTGGTGCTGGTACTGGATTGAAGGTTGGACTGAAAGATGCCAGCGGCCGAGAACGGAAGAAAGTCTTCATAAGTAATTGGAAGAGCCTCCAGTACTCCAGCAGAGACGAGCTGGTCAAGTAAGGAGGTTGGGTCGACAGTCTCAAGCTTTGGGATACCAGCTAGCCTTTCTCGAGCACCCTCGGCGCATTTGTACTCCGAGTAAACAAGGCCCCGACGACGCAACTCATTCCAATTATCAGGGAACTTCTCGAAAGTCTCCTTGAAAATTTGGTCCACAGCAGATGGTTCGACCTTGTTCCCTCTTTGTGCCGTCGCCATGGCCTCGTCAAGAAGCGCGTCGTACAGTTTCCTACCCACAGGTGTAACAGCAGCGCCTCTCTCTTCAATCTCACCGAACCTCGCTTTGTGGAATCCGTCGACGAACTCATCTCGGCCAGAAACAGCGAATCGGATTCCCTCTTGCAGTGCTAGAAAGCTGGTTTGCCTCAAGAGAACGGGGCATTTCCTCGGTGGTGGACCCTCAATCCGGCTCTTCACGGCCATGCCAGCTTCAAGCATTGCCTCTTGGGCGGCGGCAATATCGAGGGCGCGAGGTGTGAGGTGGTTGATGTGTGATGACCGAAAGCAGGCAATGTCCGCCAAAATCGGGTGTTCGTCGCGAAGAAGAGCATACTCTTCATGTGTCGCTGCAGCCAAAGGCTGCCAGCTGAATGTGCGCAGAGCCTCGATGACGAACCGCTCTCCCTGCTCAGGGGTTAAGCGACCTTCTTGTCTAGACTCGGCGATATCGAGGAGGTCAATGAGGGCGTCGCTAAAGATGTTTCGTCTCTTGAGAAGGTTCAGTGCTACGCCTCGTGCAGAACCAGATTTCAAAAGCTCCGGGCGGAGAAGTGTTGTGAAGACGCGGAACGGGTTGCGCTCTAAAGACTCAGGCGATGTTGGACGGAAGCATGTTGCATGCATCGGCAATCCCGCAACAGACAAGTCATAGTAGCCGACCGCGTGCATGCCGAGAAGATTGAATATACGGCGGACGGTGTGTAGTTCTTCGGGTGTTCCAAGACGGATGGCACCATGTCTTTCAAGTGTAAGACGGTCGATGCTAGCGTCCATCGTTGCGGAGCCTTCGAGGCCCTCAAGCTTTCTTGCCTGTGCATCTCTGTTGACTTTCTGGACGATGTGGATGAGGTCGCCATAGAGGGGAACTTCGGCCTTGTACATAGTAGACATTGCGAGGGCAAAGGTGGTGCGGAGTGCGTCGGGGTCGACGTAGGCGGAATCCGGCTCCGGCTGTCCCGGAGGCACGGCACGGGATGCGGAGAGCAGATTGGCAGACATGATTAGATGCGGCAGGCTTCTCTCAGAGGAACTGTTGGCGCATGTGTAATTTCGTTGTTTCTCGGGCCGAACATAAGGCCAATATTACCGTTGATAAGTTAGACACGTTCTAGACAAGATGGTCGCTTCTTCTGTTTCCTTATAATATCAAACAAAGCTTCAAAGCGCAGCCGTCCCATGTTTCTTGCATCGCTCCTGGTCATACGATCAGTTCGGAAGGTGACAACAAGTTTCACATGACGCTCATGGTTCCTCCCGAGCCTTGAGCCGACTGAACCCACATCAACACTCACTGCCTCTCTCACATCAGCTGGAAGCCGGCTCCCGAATCGCGCCGTCACCGAAGTCATCGCGGACACCTACCAATGCCTTCACCGGGTGCTGCCGATAAGCCCAAAGCAGGATTACGTTGATATGGAGGTGCGGGGCTTCTCCGCCCCGGACATGGATAAGGCGTTGTGAGGGGGGCGTGCAGCCAGGAATGACGGTTAGTGGCGGCGGCGGCGGAGTCGGGGGTTTCCGAGGATGGCGACATCTATTTGCTTATCCGTGCCATCCAACACGAGGGTCAGATTGTGCGGAGTAGACATCATTCAGCGGCACATCGTCTGCATTTCAGAATTGAGGCTTCAGCGATTTCAATAAATCGGACCTTAAGAAAACAGGCACAAGGCCAGGCTCTTTGAAGCAACTCTGAACCTGTCCTCACCGTCACATTCCACACAAAAATGTCGCCCAGCGCAACGGAACCTACTCCCGCCCCGGCCCCCGCACCGGCACCGGCCTCGGCGCTGGACTCGGGAAAGTCGACCGGCAAGGTGAAGAGGCTCCATCAGATCCCCGTCCCGGAGTCGAAAGAGGCCGCACGTCAATGGCAGCTGGAACAGATGGCCGCTGCCTTCCGCATCTTTGCGAAGCTGGGCTTCTCGGACGGTAGCAGTGGGCACATCAGTCTCAGAGGTATGTGTGTCCAGGGAAACACGACTCTTTGTCGACTAACACGCTAGCGAAGACCCCGTAAGACCAGAGACGTTCTGGATCAACCCATACGGAGTGCATTTCGGCCTCCTCAAGGTGTCGGACATGGTCCACATTGATGAGGACGGCAACCGTCTGGGCGGTGCCGATAAGCCCGTGAACACGGCCGGCTTCATGATCCACTCGGCCCTGCACAAGAGGCGACCGGACATCAACGCTGCCTGCCACATGCACAGCCCCTATGGCCGGGCGTGGAGTACTTTCGGCAGACCAATCGAGATGCTCAACCAAGGTCAGAACTCAAGCCATCATCTACCTCGTCACTTTCTAACTTCTATGTCAAGACTCATGCATGTTCTACAACGATCTCTCCGTGTACCCCTCATTTGGTGGTGTTGTGCTCGCCAAGGAAGAAGGCCAGCGCATCGCCGACAACCTTGGTCCCACGAACAAGAACCTCATCCTTCAGAATCATGGCCTTCTTACTTGCGGTGGCACGATCGGCGAAGCCGCTGCGTTCTTCATCGCTCTTGAGCGTGCCTGTCAATCGCAGCTTCTGATTGAGTCCGCCATTGCGTCTGGAAGCAATGGTGCCGCAAGTGGTCTGAAGAAGACTTTGGTTGATGATGAGGAGGCCCAGTACACCAAGGACGGCACTGGCACACCTGAAGTCATGTATATGCAGTTCGTTCCGGAGTACCAGTTGATCTTGAAGGAGTCTGGCGGCGACTTCCTGTTGTAAATACCCCTGTTCAGATACAAACGCAAGCTTCATGATGCAATCATTCATTTCGTTCCGTGTGGCGAGGGGCCCAAAGGCGTGGCCATGATCTGATGTTGACTCTGTATTTCTCAATACCAAGACGTTATATGAAGCGTTCGCTGAGTTGCAACCTTAAGTTATCATTACTTCGTTGTCTAAGGTATTTTAACAAACACTACGGCAATAGTATGAGACTCACAAATACTCGTTGCTCTATATATATTCCTAGATAATGAAGTACCTCGGTCTTTGAGAATGGACAATTAAGACCTAATTCATACCACCCAACCCGGCGGTGTCTGTCGTACCAAGCCCGAATAAAACCATCTCCCCATAGTATATACGTCGTACACTGGTATCTTCCCTCCAAGTCCAGCATGAATTGCTTTGGATGATGGTGGCATATTCGTGCACTCTAACACCACGGCCCTTATTTCTGGTCGACTCTTGATCAATTCCTTCGCAGTAGCCACCAACTCCGCCTCAATATCGGCATGGATGTAAGGGGCACCGTTTTCCCTAATAGTGTTTCGCAGATGACCTCCTGGAGGAACCCCACGAACTATTACTCTCGACATCCAAGAATCTGGTACAAAACTGGCTAAATGCTTCGGCCCAAGCTTCGTCTCATCGTATGTTAGAACGCCAACACAGCTATCTGGCGGCAACAGAGCCAAGACTGAGGGCAGTTGTGCCAGAGACGAGGTTGCTATTGGAATGGGCAACCTGGCAGCGAGACTTGGGACATCGTTAACATTGAAACCCTCCAACTCAATCGGAGTTCACAAAACTCACTCGGCTTGCGCCATGGCCAAGAAGCCACAGCTGGTGATGATCCCCACACAACCCCGCGCCGCCAACCGAAGACCCGCGTCGACAAATCGGTCAATGAAGGCAGAGTCGTATTGATCAGAACTGACGACCTGCGACACTTTGGAACCTTCAGCCATCTCACGAATCAGTGGGAACGGCCACGTCTTCTCGTTGTATGGGTCACCCGGGGGACGGTGGATGTCTAGGTCGATAGAGATGAAGCCCAGGGGGGGGAGAGCATCCGGGTCCGCAAACTCGGCCATGTCGAAGTAATTTCAGTCGCGGAATGTTCAGCCCTTGGTGTTGCAGAGTCTCGCAAAGTGCCGTCATTATAGTCTTGGGCATCCAACTCGCAGCACGGCAGCTGTCGCTTCAATTGCAGTTATGACCCCCCCGCAAAGTCACACTCAATAAATCTTAGTCGTGGGCCTCATCGAGTTTCAACTGATCAATAATCCCAGCAATAATCCAGACATAAGATATTCAAAATGCAATCACCTGAGCAGATGCCGAAAACAGTGCTACACACACAAACTTCCCCCGCATCAAATACGTAACAGAAAGACGACAAACTGAAGTGGCTCCGGCCAATATCCCCTAGACTCGGCTCTTCCCGAGCACGACGCCAGCAATGTCACCGTGTGGGACACCCCTGCTCGGGAGAATCCGACCTAGCTTCATCCCTCCGTTCATCGGCCGCCCACCGGAGTAAAGCAAGAAAGGGACGAACCGGATGCTGTTATGCCACGCGACTTGCCTAATTTGGTGGCAAAGTGGTGTGTCAAGATCAAGAATTATTCGCTATTCCCGGGATATGCGTTTCGCAGCTATTTCTAAAGCTGCCCAAAGCTATCGCTAATATTCTATGCTGTCTGGAGCACGCGTCGCATCCCAACTTTTGTACCCCGCCATATTTCTGCCCCGCGTCTTACTTGCGCCATCTAGCAGTTTCTGTGATCTGTTCTTCATCTTTTTCTTGCTGTTGAATCGCATCACCATTATTTCCATTCCATCACAAGTTTGTTCACAATGGCTCCCACGCGCATAGACGAGACCGGCTCCAAGAAGCCCCGCGTCGTCGCCCTCGGCACTCCCAAGTTCGTCGGCGATGATTACCTCGCCGACTTCAAGACCGAATTCGACTACTCCGTCCTCGAGGCCACCAACCGCGCCGAGACGATAGCCATGCTCCCCGAATCCTTAAAAAAAGACGGTCCCATCGACGCATTCATCATCCGCATGGGCACCCCGCCCTACGAGCCCTTTGACGAGGGCCTGCTGGGCGCGCTTGTGCCTAACTGCAGGATCATCACCTCCGCCAGTGCGGGCTTCAACGAGTTCGACGTCGAGTGGATGGCTTCCGAGAACATGTGGTTCTGCAACACCGTCGATGCCGTCGCTGAGGCGACGGCTGATATGGCCATGTTCCTGACCCTGGCGGTGCTGCGCAACACGAGCAACGCAGAGAGGAGCGCCCGCGCGGGCACGTGGAGGGCTGCGCCTGGTCTCGTGCCTGGAAGGGATCCTTCTGGGCTGACCCTGGGTATTGTGGGAATGGGAGCTATTGGAAAGGTTGGTGTCATCCGCGATCGAGTCACGGAGTTGCACAATGTCTAACATCCTCTGTCCGCAGTACCTGGCGAAGAAGGCGGCGGTTTTCAACCTCAAGATTAAGTACTACAACAGGCATCAGCTACCCGCGGAAGAAGAGGCCAAATACAACGCGACATACTGCAGCTCCCTCCACGAGCTTCTCGGGCAGTCAGATATTGTGTCGCTCAACTGCCCTCTCAACGACCAGACAACAGGCCTCATTGGCCCCGACGAGTTCGCTGCCATGAAGGACGGCGTTTTCGTCGTCAACACCGCGCGCGGTCCCGTCATCAACGAGAAGGCCCTGAAGGACGCGCTTGCGTCCGGCAAAGTTGCGCGGGCCGGCCTGGACGTCTTCTGTGACGAGCCCAACCCTGACCTCGAGCTGTTGAACCACGAGAATGTTATCGCACAGCCCCATCTCGGAGGTCTGACGGATATGGCGTTCCAGAAGGCGGAGAGGGAATGCTTTGAGAACATCAGGGCGCTTTTCAAGACGGGCAAGCCTAATTCGCCTGTTATTGACATCACGAAAAGGAAGGCTGAGAAGCTCTCCAGCTGATCAATTTCCCTAATTCGCATTCACACGGGTACATAGAGCAGCGATGGCTGGGGTCGCATACATGAAAGGCTGGACGAGCAGCCTCGGGGCTTATTTCATTCGAAGAGATTAGGACTTCTATTAGTAAACGACATGCTTAATGAAAAGTCTAGATGATCGTAACCTCTTTGCATCTATTACCGTGAAAATACTACATCGTAAGTAGATCATTACTGGATGTGACTATTAAGTCAAACGTCGCGACACAGCAAAGGAATGGGCACTATAACCACCGCCTTTATACACACCTACCTGGTTGTGACTTTTTAGTGTCGCAAACCTCGAAACCTTCTAAATGAGTATGTTGACCTATAGACTCGTACCTGTGCACTAGAAAAATGTGATTCGGGAGCCCAGCTCTTTTCAAAATTCGTGGACTAGGCTATCACAATGGCCGAGACGAATGGTTTTGGGATTTCACGTGTTATTACTATATCTGAGAGTATATCTAGAAGCCCTCTGTAGGCCCAGATTATGCATGTGTACAGTCGGTAGCCTCGCAGATTTTATGCGGATCTAGACCTTCTGGGCGACGGCTTGTGACTTGTCCTTTGCCACGTTGGAATCAGACTCGCTGCTGAGTTATACCGATTAGCTTGGGTTCTTAATCTGGAGAGTTGAATACTAACATGGACTCTTGGGCATCAAGGACGGCTGCCTGGGCTTGCAACTTCATCTGCTTGGCCCTGCGGTTGACATTCCACCATGGGCCCTTGAACAGCTCGTCCAGCTGCTCCAAGCTCTGCTGAGACGTTTCGGGGACAACACAGTAGACATAAACCAGTGAGAGGAAGCACCATCCGGCGAAGAAGATGAAGGCGCCCCAGTTGTGCGTCTGGCTGAGCAACGAAGGCATACCCTTGTTGACGCCGAAGAAGAACAGCCAGTGGAAGAGCTGGGAGAAGGCGCTGCCAAACGAACGGAGGTGGTTAGGCCAGAGCTCAGCGCCGAAGACGTAGGGCAGAACAAGCAGACCTGGAAGAGGTTAGAAAAGGCCTATTGCGTTGCTTTTGGAACACCTTACCGACGGCATAGCCGAAGCCATGGATGAAGATGGCTGCGATAGCCGCCTCGCTTGAACCAGGAGCAACTGTGCCTTCTTGACGGTACTTGATAAAAACACCAAGATACAGATCAGAGATCATCTGGATGGAAATTCCAGTGAACAAGCTGCGGCGCCGACCGAGGGCGTCGATGAAGAAGAAGCTTGCAATCAGAGTGAAGAAGAACTTCGCCATGCTGTACATGCCGCTGAGGAACAAGCTTCGCGAGGTACCTCCACTGACGCCCACCATGGCAAGGATGGGAACGAGGTAGGAAGTAACACTATTCGCTCCAGACAACTGCGCGAGGGCGTAGGACAGCACACACTGCTGCACGCGTCGCAGGTTCGTGGGAACAAGGAAGGCGTCCTTCATCAGAACCAACACACCGGGATTGCGTCCAAACTTCTGCTCCTCCTTGGCGATCTGGATCTTGATGTCTTCAATCTCGTGAGCCACGCGGGGGTGGCTGGCGGGGAGGCCTCGCAGGGTGATCAAGTTGCTGATTCCCTCATCGTCGCGTCTGGCGATGAACAACCAGCGAGGGCTCTCGTACAGGAAGAAGCTGAGCGCGATTAGGATCGCCATGACGATTGTTGGCGCGAAGAAGACGAGCTGGTACTGCATCCGGCCGACGGCGACGTGGACGAAGCTTGCATAGACGATGAAGACGGAGACGGTCAGGGATAGAAGCATAGCCACGCTGAACCAGACGGCTAAGAGGCCGCGGATCTCTGTGGGGGCGATCTCAACGATGCTGACGGGTCCGGTGACCGTCAAGGCGCCGATGCCCAGGCCGGAGACTATGCGGGCCGTGTAGAGGGCGCCAAGGTGACCAAAGGAGACCGAGGCGATGATTTGTCCAAGAATCCAGATGCTCATGTACAGGCGGTACGACCACATACGTCCGATGCGGTCATTGAGGAAGAAGGAGAGGCCGGCGCCTATGCCGGCTCCGATGTAGACGAAGGAGATGAAGTTGGAGACTTGTGTAGGGTTTGTGGCTGAGGTGATGCCGAAGTCTTGTTGGAAGCCCGGAAGTGAGGGTACAACGGATGATGAGCCTTGGTCCCATGCTGTCCGTTACGTTAGAGCTGTTCCCGGTGGGGTGAGGTATGTTGAAGGTGACTTACTGATGGGAATGCCGCCCGTGGCGTAGAGGGCAGCCGTAAGAAGAAGATTACGGTTCGCGATGAGCTCCCTAGGGGACTCTCGGATTGCCTTGATGTACTTGGCGAAAGTCGACTCGGTGAAGACCTCTTTGATGGTCATCTTGCTGGATGCGGTGACACTTGCGGTCACGACTAAACTCGCTTGTGTATTTGGTTTTTGGAGAAAGGTCGACGGGAGCACCGATACAACTCTGAGACTCAACCTTGGAGTCGCAACCAATCACCGGGGTGTATCGTCAAAAGATGCAAGAGGAGGAAGGCAGGATATGTATAATGCAGATCGACAAGTCGACATAATGTTCTGTCCTGTCTATCGGTCAGGCGGACGTCATCAGCAAGCCAAGACTAAAGCAACAAAGACGGGCCCCAGCTCCCCATCCAGAACGCTCCTTTTCGTCCCAACCGAGGAGAAGAGAGACCCGGCTGTCAGGTTCGTCGGCGCTCGTAGTTGCATGCTGGAAAATCTGGGGTAGAGCAGGGAAAACGTGCTTGCGCGGATACTTCCATTCTGCTCAACCCCCTTTGGGCGTTGGCGTAGGCCCTCACGCGAGCCAAGCCCCTTGGGAGATAGGAATCTTCCCCTCAAAGTGAACCGTGCTCTCTTCTCCTCGCCATAATTCACTTGAGTAACACGCGCTGTGCACCGGTTGACTGGGTGCGCCAACCAGAAGCCCCCTGGACCCTTATCCGGGACAATCCGAGCAGGGGGGCCCAAGGCCGCGATGAAATGAGGGGCGGGGTGCAGTTTATCAGCTGCCGGGACCGGAGCTCGACGGCGTTAGCGGGGATGCAACGACATGGGTTGAGCTCCGGCAACAAGACGGTAGTGTGCGTTAGAGGCTGAAGTATCTCTGATAGTGACGCCGGACAGATAACGAAGCGGAGGGAACTCCACTCACTGGGCCATTGCATGTAGGGATTGTCTAACAGTTTATGATATCGAGGTTGTCTCATTCTGCCTTCTCTGTTTCTCTTTACATTCACCTCGCTACCTCCCGAGAACAGGCTCTGCTATTCTCAGTCGGAGATTACCTGACTCACTGACATCTTCACTACCAAAAAGCTCGTTGGGAATTCAATCCACAACAGGATCCCCGCCTCCCCCGCATTGTTGCCCTTGTCCGTTGCGAACCCCGACCGGCCGACCACGTTGCTGTGGTGGTGCTACGGCGGAACCCGAAATATCGTGCCATACGCGTTGCAGCCGCGTTAATGGGCCTCGTTAGAATCCGAAGTGCTTGATTGGACGCAGGTCCGGATATTCGGTCTCTTCTCGCCGCCATCAGCAGGCTGGGTTGTTGTTAAGCCAAGCTCATTGAAGACCATTTGTCTCAGTAGTTGCTGCTTATCCACGCACGCTCCTCTCGACTGAGTTCGGTTACAAGACTCCTGTGCATGAGCTTTGGAGGAAGCTGAGCGGAAACAGCCTCACTTTTTTATCTTCATAATCCTAGTCCCACCTCACGAATAGACGCTGGCCGTAAACATCTATCATGTCGCCCCTACCAAACAAAGATGATGCCATCATCATCGTCGGCGCAGGCATCTTCGGACTAAGCACCGCGGTGCACCTCTCCCGCCGCGGCTACACAAACGTGACAGTCTTTGATAAACAGCCATACCACAAGTCACTGTACTCATATTTCAACGGGTGCGATGGCGCTTCAGCAGGCAAGTCCATATGTCCGGTGTTCTGAACCATCAGCTAACAGCCGTTCAGATATGAACAAAATCATCCGCTCAGCATACGGATCTCAAACAGAGTACCAAGGCCTTACAATTGAAGCTCTTGAGGGCTGGAACGCGTGGAACGAAGAGCTAGCCACAGGAAAGACTCTCCCACCTGGCCTCAAAACCACAGACCGAGTGTTCGTCAACAATGGCAACCTCTCCGCTTCAGACTCGGCATCTCTGCCTCAATTCGAGCAAGACACCGTCGACAACATGGAAGCAGCAGGTCACAAGAACACCCAACTCATCACAATTTCCCCCACTCACCAAAAGATTGCCGAAGAAACGGGCTTCGCCTTCGGCATGGACCCCTTCCGCCGCCTCAAACGTGGCATGAAAGCAGCCGGCGTCCTCGACACCACCGGAGGCATGGCCGTAGCCGACAAAGCCTGCCGTTTCGCCCTCCACAAGGCCGCCTCCCAGGGCGTCAACTTCATCCTCGACCCTGAAGCCGGCGCGCTGGAGTCTCTGGTCTATGCGGACAACAAGGTCGCAGGCATCAAGACCCGCGACGGCAAGACGCACGCCGCAAAGCTAACCATCCTCGCCTGCGGCGGCTGGACCCCGTCACTGCTGCCCTCCATGGACGGCCTCTGCGAGACCACAGCTGGCTCCGTCGTGCTCCTCAAGATCCCCCGCGAATCGTCCCTCTTCGACCGCTTCGCGCCCGAGAACTTCCCCACCTTCACCTACAAGATCCGCGACGGCGCCGAGGGCGGGCTGTACGGCTTTCCGCGCGACGAGAACGGCTGGCTCAAGATCGGGTACCGCGGAACAAAGTACACCAACCCTATCGTCCAGGGCGACGGCAAAGAGCGCAGCGTGCCCGTCACGCGGTGGTCATCTGCCGCGGGCAGTGGCGACGAGCGGATCAAAACGGTGCCACAGCAGGCTCTCAAGGTCATCCGAGCCTTTCTGGCGGAAAACCTTCCGGAGCTGGGCGAGGCGGGTATCGACATTTCGTTCTCGAGGATCTGCTGGTACACGGATAGCTACGACAACCACTTTGTCATCGACCACGTGCCCGGCACGGACGAGTCGCTGATGGTGGCGACGGGCGGCAGTGGACATGCCTTCAAGTACCTTCCTAATATTGGCAACTGGGTGGTAGACGCGGTCGAGGGGAAGGGACAGGACCAGATTCCGCCCAAATTGTGGAAGTGGAGGCAAATCAAGGCCGATGAAAAGCCATACAATGTCTTGATGGAGGGGAGCAAGGGCGAAAGGGCTCTGGGTAATGTCCCGCTGGCCGCTGAGGTTGAGGTTGGCGGTGGTGTCAAGTCAAAGCTTTAAGCGATTCTAGATATCTATCAAGGGCGTTTTATGGCGAGAAGCCATATATGATAAACCTTACTATTTACGTGTCTTTGGTTAAAAAGAGGCTCTGGCGCACCTACCTCCAATCTTTCCCATTCCCTCCACCTTTCTCTCACAACTCCTCTAGCCACAGACCTAACGACCAGCAACGAAACTTCAACTCGATTATCAACGTTCTACCATACAAAATGCGTTTCACCACTCTCGTTATGGCGGTCACTGCATGCGCCGGCTTCGCCTCCGCCGGTATTCACCCCTACAGGAACAACGGCGCACCCGCAACTCCGGGAGTTCCTGTCCCTGGATCCGCGTGGGTCGAAAAAGACGCTCAGTCGATTCAGGACAACACTTGGGCGATCGACGCCGACAAATTCAAGCTTGCCTCCAGACGGTACGTTGTTGCAGCTCCTTCAAAACGCCGCAAAGTTGTTCACATTTGTGAAGGCATGCCCGCGATGTACGGGCTTGAAACGCTGCCAGGCCGCTACATTAGGCATGCACGTATGCAGATTGCTCGCGACTCAGGCCCAATATTGACCACAACTGATTCTTCGTCCAGCAGCGGACAGTTCGCCTCTCACAAACGACAGCCTTTCGTTTTTTTGAATCGGAACGACACGATACGATCGTCTTTTCTTCCGTCGCTATGCATGATGCATCGGCTTGTTGGCTTCTTGCAGGAGGGGATGGGGTATCGCCGTTTCGTACCTTGTGTCGCAACCTTGTTGCGTTTATGAATGAATACACATCATTTTTTCCGTGGTTCAGAAGAGTTATGTCTCGAGCTAAGTAAGGGTTGTTTTGCGGACACACAGGTATTTGGTATCAAAAAGGTTCATATTGGTCTAGCAATAACACAAGGCCAAGTCACAAATTTCTTTTTCGAGGTAACCTTTGTGGTTTTTGAAACGAGTGCAGCATTAAAAGGTAGCTTCCCGATGACCTTTGAGGTCTTTTGCTCACCTTGTGGGTGGTAATACGACTGGGTGCATCAGAAAAAAGCTACAACCTTTACGGTATAGACTCATCAATCCAAATGGAAATGGAAGGCAAAAGGGTCTGTACAGGTTCATGTTTCTGTCACCGAAACCGTTCCCGGCTCATACTCCCTCCCCCTTGGTATCTATATAAACCTCCCCGAGCATCAAGACTAAATCGAACTCTCTCTCCTTTCTTCATACGCAGCATGGCCTGATACCACCGAAGTGGGCTACGCAACCTTCGAGATATGCCTACTGTCCTGAGCCGAACCAATATCCTATTGCATCGCTGTCTTTCCTTTTCTGTCTTCCTTTTCTGTCTTCCCTTGTTGTTTTCCCTTACTGTCTTCCCTTACTGTCTTTCCTTGCTGTCTTTCCTTGCTGTCCATCCCTATTGTTTTCTCCTGCTGTTTTGTTTTTTTTTGTTTTGTTCTACTTTTCTTTTCTTTTGTCTTTCTTACAGATGCAACAGGATATCGGTTCGACTCGGGTCAGCAGCTATATCTCGAAGGTTGCCTGGCCCCCTTTGGTGAGTGTCACGCATGCTTGCGCAAATTTTTGGAACTTGAAGCACTGCTTCTTCTTTTTTTTCTTTTTCTTTTTTTCACTTTGCATCTGCAACCCACGGTTCGAAACGCGAGGCCTCTGACTCTCTCCCTTTACTTGAGAGTCGGGGACCTTGCGTTCCGAGCCGTTGCAGTAGCAAATCTGTCCTATTCTTTGTGATGCAAGTAAGATTTCTACCGCACTATTCCTATGTGTAGATTACAGCTAACATTATCACAGATCTTCGCGTAGTATCTATCCCACTGCTGGACCTTAGCTGTGGCATATTCTTGTGGCAGATGATGAGGAAAAAGAATCGGTGTATACTTAGTAATAAACGTTCGTTGCTGCAATTTGCCTGATCTTTTGTATTTGTGATCGCCCGCTTGACCGAAAAGTATGATGGCGAACGGGTGCTTGTCGGGGCTCTGTCAAGTTTGTATGATATGTGATAACTCCAGCCGAGGCTTTTCGCCCCTCAAAGACCGTGCCAGTAGGTCTGCGAGTGAGAAACCCATAGCTGACC